TTTGGTCTACTTTGAACCAAAATTATCAAGTTTAGACGAATCTTGATCAAACATGTTCAAATGTCGTTAATGAGTGGAAGCATCGATTGTAGGTTTTTGGCACCGATGATTAAAAAAATGTAAGTTTCCCAGTCCTGTACAACACTGATCCCGGTTATCAAAACTCATGTACAACTTGATACACACAGAATCTCCGGTTCCCGACCTGGATGATGGCTAGATATTTAATTTAATTTACAGCTTCTTATTATGGTATTGCGATCAATCAAATCCGTTATGTAAGCCACGCGGTTATCAATCTCACTTGGTTTTGGATATGAATACAAACGTGATCGGAAATGGTTACACAGTACTGTAATGTAATAGTAAACAACATTTTAAATGTAAACATATCAGTGACAGCTAGAAGCAAGAATCTTGATCCAAACAGCTGTTCGAAATTTTATAGATGACGTATTCTTTTAACAGATGATTATCGCAAATGGGATTTTCCCTTTTTTGACCCTAAAAACATAAAATTTAGCAATTTCTTTCCGAACCATTTTGTAGAACTTAAAAAAAAAAGAAATAGTATATTGAAGTATAATTGTTGTATGCCTAATGGTTACGGAAAAAATTCAAAAAAGTGTAAATTTAAAATTCCCAAGTTATTCTTATGGAGAAAAGTAAAACTGTTGTAGTTTTCCTTATGTTGTTAAAATTAGGCAAATTTTTTATTTAATATTATACTATTGACTTTTGGTAAACACCCATTTTTGACTTCCCTGTAGCAGCAAACCAAACCTAAGCACTCGTTAAATCTAATGTTATTTAAATTGGGAATAAATATGTCTTATTTATGGAAACGTTTTAGTAAAAATGTAATGAAACAAATTGAAATTCGCTATGTCTTTGGCTTAGCTTAGGTTTGCTGAAGCGGGGGTATCTTTACTCAATACATAACATACAAAAATAGAGTCAAAATCTCTATAAACCATAGACAATAATACATAAATCCACGCAAACGTCTATAATGAAAAGTAAATGGAAATTCAAATCAAATATTTCTTTTTATCTACAAATTTGTGTAATGAATAAAAATGATTTTTATTAAGAAATATTTTAAACGTTTTTTGATTCTTTTGAAATGTTGTTCCTGCCGGATGCTTATTGGTGAATATTGTAATAATTTCACTTCTGCGTAAGTAGTTTTCTTTGAATAGTATTCTAAGATATGCTGGGGCAATTGGAGGGGTGATGTATTGCTTTTTAGTAAACATAGGTAGAAAACGGGACGAAAATCACACAAAATTGGAATTATGATTGTCCGTTATTCTATTTACAAAATCAGAGAGGCAGGCTGAAACTAGTTGATGGCTAAAGACTCCCATTCCTGTGAATACAATTAAACATTAGAATCATTATTGGTAGCGGTACACTCTAGTTTTCTTGGAGTTGCAGAATATTTTGTTTTACTTTAATGCTAGTGGGTAATTTTTTTTTTTTTTAATTCGATTTCTAACACAGAATATAAGTTTTAGGCGTCCCAACACGTGAGCACGTAACATACAGCTTGCCAAGTGAAAATCATTCATTTTCGAAATTAAAACCGGAGGTAATACCATTAGTGCCTTATTAATTGTGATTGCGCAAGCAAAACACCGAGAAAAATTTTTAGTCGCTTAAATTCAACGGGTAATTTGGATTAAATTATCGGCATTCTTGGAATTAAGAAAATTTCACCTTTGAACTGATGATTGTTGCTTCGATCAAGTTTGGTGTAATTTTATCCATCAGTCTGGTTCCGTGCACAGCTTGGGTGGATTTAAGTTTCGCTAGTATAATTGGAGTTCCTTCTTTTAATGAAAATACGTGTGGCTGCTGTGTATATTGATCTATATTATACAAAAACTCTCCTGGCAATTTAAATTAAATTTGTTGATTTAGCTCGTTAACATATTCATTTTTAGGGACCAAAATTGCACGGTCGCAAAGCCACTCTGGATCTTTGAAATTGGTTGACAAGTCTGGGAATACTGTACATTTTCCCAGATTGAATATTTGGTTGTAGTTTACATAAGTATGAAAAATAAAAAATCTTTTGTGGTTTGGTAAATTTCAGTTTTGCCATTCCCAATGTCCAAAGGCTGTTTAGTTTAGAGAATGTTTCTGCAACCGTTTCTTTCGGGCAAAATGTACGCATGCTCGTTAAAAGAGTTACTTTTAACCGTAGTACCATAAGATGCTTTTAGGCATGCGTGAACCTCGTTGGCAGGGATTCACAGTAAAAATAGGCCACTAAAGGTAGACCAACACCTTAAGTTTAGTCAACGATTGTTCAAATATGAAATAACGGCAATCGATATTTATATTAGATCTTTGATCATCTAAACAACACTAAATTGTTGATTTAAAATTGAGTAAAAAAACCAAATTGAGTGAAAAAAACTAAATTGGTTACTTAAACTGTCAGCACTTGACTTATGAAGTTTAAGTTCGGAAAATTACAAGGGCAGAAATAGATTTGACCATATCGTTGTAACATATTATATAGTGGCGCAAAAGCGAAAAATCGTTGTCACGAGCCGTTTCGAAACTAATGTGGTTTCGTTTGTACAGTATGTTACAAAATTATCTGCTGTCGATGTTTACAAATAATTCTGAGTTTAAAGTTATGAGCAAAATCATATAAAAGTGTATCTTATTTTTCTTTAATTGCATACTTTACATTACAGAGTTCTTATTATTTCAGGGATCAAATTTCTATGGTTTGTAGTAAAAATGTTTTTTCATAAATTATAAAATACAACTAACATTCAAGTCTTTACTTGATATTCACGAGAATGTCTTTTATAATGTCGATTAGACGCAATTAACCACAACCGAGCAGGGCTATCGGTACCGTATTGTAATCAACGAGCACAATATGACATTTGAATTTTTTTCGCTGATTGTAATGGTTTCAATTATCGAACACGTCTGTTTTCGCAGGAGTAGGGCCTATACAGAATAGAAAGAAAAGGTTGTTTTCAATTTGCTAAAAGTTAAAACCAGTTACATTTTACCTCAATGCATTATGCAATCATTCCTATAAAAATTAACTCACGGATATGAGCCTACAGAATTATTAAAAACCAATACAGTATTATTCTACCATTAGCTTCTAAAAATTAGCAGGTATACTGATGAAAATTTATGGGAAAACAGTTTCTAAATTTTGAACCATATCTTAATTATTTAAATAAGTAAAAAAACGTTGCAAGGGCAACGGGTCACATCGAAATGATAACACATATCAAATATATTTTGTTATAACCTTAGTTACGTTACGAATAAGGAAAGTGGGCCCTATTATTGGCGATTTTGGGGTGGGTTGCCTACTTCCCGTACTACAAGGACGGGCGCGCATTGTTCCCTCTGTGACCTCAATACACAGTCCATTCTTAGAATGACGTTAGGAGCCTTGGCAGGAAAGGGGTTTCTCCCAGATTCTGTGAATCCGAGAAATTAATCGTTCGTGCTCTGCTAACCACGAAACCCTTCCAAGTTTGAAAAAGTCTTTGTAACAATAATAGTGGATATTCAATTTACTTGTAAGGAATAATTAAGAGAGTTATTGAAAAAAGCAGCGCTAATTTTTCCTTCACTTTTCAGTGGCGAACCTAAAAAAATACGTCCCATAACTTATTATATAAATTAACTACAGTTAATTTAATTGGAGTGTATATATAATACACTACTACTATTTGTTCAATACATTTGAAAGTAAAATAGTAAAGATCCAAATACAAAACATGATTCAGAATTTGTTTATTTTATTTTTTTTACGATGTTTTCACTTCTAAAATAAAACAATCATTTAACGATGAGTATATCCAAAGTTGTTCCTATCCTGCGCCTAATAAAGTCGAATGTCAGTAATGATGGTTAGTCTCTCCACAAAAGGCAGCCGTTAAATAAAAGAAAAATCCCCGTCGGCATCCATGCGTTTGGTGGGTTTTTCGTTCGTTATTGAAAATATGCATTGGAAGTTTGGCGTAAAGACGTTTTTTGTTTCCCGTGAAAGTCTTCTGGAGTTTATTTGCCACAGGTTTGCCGAAACGATGCCTGTTGCCGCATAGCGCTACACGAACAGGTGCGGAGCCATCGTGAACTACTTGAAGCGTTTCACTTTTATCCCGCAACTGGTCGTAGCGCTAGGCAGCAACAGGCAACGTTACCGCAAACTTACAGCAAATAAGCTTCAGATGACTTTCACGGGAAGCAAAAACAAGTTTTCGCCAAACTTCCAATGCATACTTTCAATAACGAACGAAAAACACACCAAACGCATGTTTACAGAAAGCGTGCATGCTATCTGGGATCTTACACAGAGAAGTACCAAATTATTATGAGGTTGCTTGCTATCAGTTACTCTATTCAAAATACTGTTGTGTTTTTCACAGATTACCAAAAAAATACCCAATCACATGTTTACAAAATAAATATATTTAATCACTAGGGCGTAAAGTGACCCTTTTCGATCTAAAGCGAGAGTTGAAGGACACTTTTGCCTGTGTGATGATCTTTTTTTGTCATATTGCAACATTGTTTAACAAACTAAGTTAGAAAACAAAAATACTTCTTATGTAAACATAACCCCTCAAAACAACTTCTAAGTGGTTTTCAATTTTGCTAATGCAAATAAGCAGCCGCGTTAGTAAGTGATTCATTCGTTCCCTCTATTAAGATTGTGTTAGTGTACATTACACTCTCAATATTTCAAACTGCAACAATAAGCTACAAGAAATAAAATCAATCGATACATAATTTTGATACATGCGATTGCTTACAAAGTTTAAAACTAACTGAGTTTACAACAGCTGACTTTTACTTCCTAGGGACTAAAAAGGCTTTTTACTCTCTAGGAAGTAAAAGAGCTACTTTCAGATCCGCAAAGTATGTATTAAAAACAAAAACGGCTGTTTTCGCTGCAGCATGACGAAAAACAATTTAAGATCAGATAACCAAACTTGTTTCAGTGCAAAAGGTTTGTTTGTCCTCCGTACTGGGGACAAGCCTGCGTACAGTCTGGGAAAGAATGGAATCACAGGGACAAAGTGTAAGAGCAAAACTTCAAACTTTGACTTCAGAATGGTCCGACACTACAATGCTATGATGCACATGTTGAAGGAGAAGAAATCGGATGAGAAAAAACATTTGGTGAAAAAAGAAATCACTCACATATTGAAGGAGAAGAAATCTGAAGAGAAAAAACACTTAGTGAAAAAGGATATGCTGATAGACTAAAATACATTGTTTTCATGCAGAATTTTTCACAAAGTATGTCTATTAAATCTGAGACAACATCTGTTTTGTTATAATAAAAAACCATTATTTAATTGTTCTTGTAAGTTTACATTATTTAAGAAAATTTACAGTACAGTCCACGAGAGTCTGCAGTTGAGGGAGGAGCCTATTTACCACGTGACTTCGAAGGAGGATTGTGTGCTGTTGCCAAATCTAATAATACCAGCTGATTTGAAATTTCTGTTTGGTATAGTTTTATTAGGCTAGCGTAAAAAGTTAGTGAACGGGCGATGTTGCAACGTTGCGCTAGTCCAGTCTTGTTAATGGTTGCCACCAACTGCAGGATCTCGTGGCCCCTAGTACAAATTATCTATTCATAGGAAGCAGGGCCGTCGACAGGGGGGGGGGGGCAGGGGGGGCAAATGCATAGGGGCCCGGGCATGTAGAGGGGCCCGGGCCCAAAGTGACTTTTAAATTTGTTAATAAAGGGCCGGGACCTTTTAAGATGATTTCAACTTGATTGGCTCAATTCTGTCCTCAGTTGTGGTTTTTAAACTACCGAGTTGAGGTTGGTACCAATTGACATAAAGAAGTTTGCTTTATTTTTGCTATACATATAATGAACGTATGAATTGTAAGTATTAGAGGTTTTGTTTTTAGGAATTACAGCTTTCTTTTTCATTGTATAACGTTGCCACTCACCGAGCCTCAACTTTTAAATACAACATTTCGTCTATAGACGTCATATTATCATTTCAAGCTTGGTTGCTATGCCTATGTTCTATGTTATTGCCATATTCTGCCAACTCGTTAAAAGATTTAACTAGCTAAACTTTAAAATTTTGAAGCCAAATCAGTCGACTAGTGCAAAACATGGCAACTATGTACGAATGAATTTATTTGTACAGATGGCAGCACTGCTGGCTCAGCTCTCAGTCTTTCGTTTTGATGATATTGGCGTCTGCTAGACTGCTTACTGCTTGGCGGTTAGTGTTGTTTTGAAATTAATAAAAAGTGTTTTGAGATCCACCATGGCCCAACAGAGAATGAGCTCATTGGCTCTTTTAGCAATCGAGTCAGAAATGGCCTCAAAGATAAACTTTGAAGACATAATGGGCGGAGTGAATAAAAACAAGTACAACAAGTATTTACTTGAGAGTAAATACTTGCAAGTATTCATCCCTCCAAGTAAACTCTTGTGAATAAAAGCGACTCTTTCCTTGCAAGTAAATACTTCCTAAATGAGAGGGTATACTCTCTGATCTGAGGGTATACTTGCAAGTATTTACTACTTCAAAGTAAACTTTATACAGTACGAATACTTGCAGCTTATTCCTCATAAACAAATTTGCCTTTCTCTGCTATTAAGTTAAAACGGGTTTCCTTATGTGTTCTTACGTGTATATCTATTCACTTTTTATTAATTAACAGCACTGCTGAAATACGTGTGAGACTATAATAGTTGATTGTGAATACGTTCACTGCAAGCGCAGGCCTAGAACTATATTTTTATGGGGGAATGTTGCAGGGGGGTCTGGAGGTCCTTCCCCGCCACGGAAAAATGTTAACATTATGTGCTCAGACAAAAGATTTTATAGCTATTTTGAGGCATAAAAAGATAAATTATTAATCTAGTTTGATATACAAACATCTCATATTATTGTTGAAGGTCCAAGAACTTTGTTAAAACATGTAAATTGCGAAGGTTTTGCATTATTGAGACTTGTGGATTTTCATTAACAGATAGCTTGAACATAACAAAGGAATGCAGTTCCACTTCAGTTGAAAATTAATGTTTTTTAAATCTATGTTTTTGGACTCCTGAATTAAGGTTACATCTTTTCCCTATGCATTATTTTGCGGAAATCACTTGAGTCATGCATCATCATTTAAATAAATGTATTACACGACCTAGATACTGAATGTGTTACATGCATTTATCAACAAGTAAACTCAAACAAGCATGGGTTACTGATAACTTGTTGAAAAACAAGTATTTACTCTTTTGGCAATTATTCACACCAAATTTATAGGTTTCTGAGGGTATACTTCCTTGGCAAGGCTTTACTAACAAGTATAAGTAAATACTCGTGTTTATTCACTTCTGTTCAAGTAAATACTCAAATTATGAAAATTTAAGACAAGTAAGCTCTTTTACTCGTTTTTATTCACTCGGCCCAATAAGTGATTTTTCACATAAAAGGGCTAGAAGGATCATCCTGTGAAAGTAAATACGGTGATTTTTTGTCATCCGTTTTTAAATTATGAACACTCCACTGACTAATTTTGTATCATTTAGCTTCGTAATTTTTATCATACAAATTTGATTGACATTAAAACACCATTTTTTACAATTAAAAAATATCTGTTGTATGTCGCTAAATAGCCTAAAAATGTGAGTTTACAGGTCCAATTTTCCAACATTTTCCCGGGGGAGGACCCCCAGACCCCCCCCCCCCCCGGATGGGGGCCCCAGGTAGTAAGTTGCATAGGGGCCCATAAAGTCTCTCAACGGCCCTGATAGGAAGTAGGGTTTCTATAACAGCTCTCTGAACTCATTTAATTATGTTCTATTAGAGTAAAAAAAAAAATTGCTACAATTGGTTTATATAAATGATGTCTCCTTTTGAACCCAAACTCAAAGCTGATATCACCATCACTTATAACAGTAAACATCGTTTTGTAATTGTTAAAAATAAGCACCAAACATACGATAGTATATTTCCTACCTAGGGTCTCGACTTTGTCTCAAATTTAAAAACTATCTCGAGCCAGCAAAACCATTTCGGTCCATAGTACGAACGCTATTTTTCAACACACTATACCCTATTAGCCTACTACTATTCACCACAATAATAATGCACACTAACAGTTAACACAACTACAACTTAAGGTTGTGTGAAGAAATAATTTGAGGAATCAGCAAAAATAATAATAAATCCTTTCAAGGCAGTGGTGACAATAAAACAAGTCTATTGCAATGCTATGGATACTGACTGTGTATTAAATATGCATTATTTTTTTAATAAAATAAGCAAACGGCAGATTTTTGGCCCTAGGGATGTAAAAACCTACTTGGCCCCATATGACATCTGGCATGGATAGCAATACGTAGGTTCCGGCCTCCAATAAATGTTTGTAAAACCGCTAAAAACATTAAAGTGGGGTGAAATACATTTTACTGCCGTCTGCCAGAGTAAAACAACAATAATAATATTGTTTATAATGTTTTGTGAACTGACAACTACAAGTTTGATTCCTTCTTTTCATACTCCACTGACTTTAAATTAAGTCAAAGTTAGATTAAACGCTTTCAAGGGAAAGCAGTCCAAACCCATTAAAGTTTTGTGGATGAAACTGGGAATTTAACCCGTCCCTCCTGCACCAAAGTCCGAGATGCTAACCACTAGGCTAGTATTATTATTATATTAACATTAACAAAAGTGGAATCGATTAGAAACACATTCGCTTAAGCAAATCTGAACACAAAAACTATAAGCTATGTGGTGATAAAAAAACTGATCATAAGTGACTGGGGGGAAGATGGTTCCACGTTTCTATAGACTGTACACTAAACAACAATTAATTACTTTGCAACTTCTAAATTTCAATACAAAAAATTAAATAAATGAACTAATAATTTTTTTAAACAACTTTTTACTATAACATCCAATTGTTTATTATAAGTTTCAAGACTGACAATTTAATTTACGACAAAAAATCGAACGCTAAGTTCTAAGTAGATAGATTAATCTCATTTAGTCAAACATATTTCAATGTCTTGAGTTGACATTACATTTATTTGATTTACATTTTTAGACATATCATTTATTTGATGTCACACAGTAGAGCCACGCCTCTCAATATCCAATGTTCAGGCGTGAACTTGCACTGAAGCCAAAGAGGAGTGATGAACGTCAGGTCAGTACGGTTTGGTTTTTTATACACAGGACACTGCAAAGAGAAATAACATAAAACGTACTATTATTCATCAGTTTCTAGCCATGTGAATAATATCTGTGGCAAAATGTACTGTGTCTAATGTTTGCAATCAGGAAAAAAACTATTTGCTGAAAATTATGATGTTCAATTTAAGATAGCAATACTTCTGGTTGTGTAGACAAGTTTACTCTTCTGTAATGCTTGTAAAAGGTTTGTTCCCTTTGTAACTCGTATTGTCTGAATTTCAGCCCCTCAGTCACGTGGTTGTCCCAACTTTAAGCTCCTGGAGCTGCATCTAACCTCATAGTTGTAAACTGGAAACAAAGCCCACTTCTTACAAAGTTTGCTGAAAGCCACTTATATTCTCAGGCCTGTGGTTTGCATGTGATGCGCCATAGGCTTGAGAGATGATTGCGCCCCTCTCCACTTACCTTGTGGAGGAATTTTTCCAATACTTGCGCCTCCAACTAACCTAAGCCCCTGAGGCCGGGCTCACCGGCCCATTTATTAAGCGGCCCTGCTTATGCTGTTGTGCAATTAATGTTTTAACTATTCATGATGTCTCGATGTTCCCATAGTCAGGCTGAGTGAGAAATCATAATGTACTAGCTAACAGGAAAGTTAGCAAAAATGTAAAACTTTTCAAACACCAGAACTCATATTTCATGGTTATACAGGGTTTGTTGCTAGCCTAGTGGTTAGGGACTTGGACTCCGGCATACTCCAAAAATGTCATAGGTTTGAACTGCTTTCCCTCATAATCTATTGCTGATTCCATAATTTAAAATGCCATCGTGATAGTCACAAAAAAATCAATTGCTTGGTTTCATCGAACAACAATAGTTTACCTGATACAGTTTAGGGTCCTTGGGAGCAGTACTGTTGATGGCAAACAGATGCACCACAGGCATCATCACTGACAGGACCTTCGGCGAAGACTCTGTCAGTCGATTGTTCTTCTTATCCCACCCAGCTCCATCCAAGTACAGTCCGTATACATACACTCCTTCCTGTAGCATATCATGTCAATCAATGCAAATTTAGTAATCATTCCTTTAGTCCTTAACAATTTAGTGAGTGCACATAATGAAGAGCAAATAAAATAGAAATGTCTATTTCTATTTTCTAACCACTTTTATTTATCTCAATCATAATGAAAAGAGGAAAGGAAGTGGTTTATCAATGTAGTATTATTGGATCTTCAGGATTATCAAGCTAATTTGACACAGGTTTTACGTTTACCTGCTCCTAAATTTCTTTTAGCCTTTGACTACGGATAGAATAGACAATCCGTTCCGTTGTTAAAGTTGTTACCAGTTTCAGACCAAACATCAACAAAAAGTTAAGCCACTGACGTTGACGTAAATTACTGATTTGTCAAACACGCCAACTGAAAGGACAACTTGTTGTACACTATGCATCTTTTATATCATATCTACTACCTCAGTAACAAAAACTACGGTGGAAGACATAGTTTTTTTATTCCAGCACATTCTAAAACAGTTAGCTACAGCTGGTCCATAGTGTACACTCACTGGTGGAGGCTGTCTGATCTCCTCTTTGCTGTACTTTGTCACTTCGTTGTGTAAAGTGACAGAGTCCAGAGGCCAACCTTTGTGTGCCCTGGCTACCTCTTGTCTCATGGCCGTCAGGAACCCTGCAAAAAAACTACCATCACTACCTTGCCCTCAAGTCTTTCTACTCATGTAAAGTGACAGAGTCCAGAGGCCAACCTTTGTGTGCCCTGGCTACCTCTTGTCTCATGGCCGTCAGGAACCCTGCAAAAAACTACCATCACTACCTTGCCCTCAAGTCTTTCTACTCATGTCGCTATGACCTTCTTGTTAGTTACAGCAGGTACTATTTAATTTCAAAACCGAAAGTTAGGGATACACGGCCCTTTCTCAAATTTAACATACATATAAGACAGAAACAGTTTATACATTATAAATATCTTATATCAAAATGAAAATAAATGTATTCTACCGCACACGACCAGTCAGCAAATGGACATAAGTGATAACAATAGAATTTCACTCAAAGTTCATTTGCAGTATAATTTTGTTACTATCACTTTTAATACAGGTGCGAAAATCAAACACTTTTATAATAAGCTACAAAACTAAAGTAAACTTCAAAAATATTATTAAAAAGTGTTGAACTATTGTTTGATAGCATTTTAGTTATTTTTAATGAATATATTTTAGCTTGGTGATGTGTGCAATTTAAATCCCAGGAGCTTATGTATAAGGAGAAATGTAAAATCCATCTACTTTCTTATAATAGATCATACAGCAGGACCAAATAGAGTTGTGCTCTTGCCTTGTTAAGTTAAATACTTAACTAACCATAATATCTACTCCTACAAAAAATAACAAATACAACCTTCAAATTAAGTATCATATGGCTACATCCATAAAATCTTTGACTGTCGAAGTAGACATCCCAATTACTAGCTGTAACCATTTAATTTCTAAATGTAAATGAATATTGTTGATTTGTACCACCGACAGTACTGATGGTGGCCAAGCCAAACTGAAACGACATTGTAAACTAACATCTGTTAGGCTGCATCAACAATCGTAGCATGAAAACAAGAGTAAACATAGAATGTGCACTCTGTATGTGGCTCATTCACATATGTTCTATTTGGCCAAAGATTGGGAACAGCTGATCCGTACAGATGGGATATCTACTTATCTAAAAAAGCCATTGTCTAGCTTGTCACCTTGAGGGTTGAAGAAGCCAGTCATCCAGAACTGTGGAGGACGTTTGACAAACACCCAGTTGGAGAACTGGGTGTTGCGTTCCTGTAGCTCTGTGTACCAGAAGCCTAACGTTGACGAGGCCCAGGAGTCACGCTTCCAGCTGTCGGGCACTCTGGCGTCGTAAATACTGTCCAGAGCGTTGCGCAGTTGCTGTGGCAAACATCGTATGTTATGTAATTACATTTGTTTGAATTTTATTTATTTTAAAAAGATTCACACCACTGAGCTATAATGAATATCTGAAGGTAGCACTTCTTTACGAGATTTTTCTGGGATCAAATATGCTGAAGTGGAACAATATGGAATGCGGAATTAAGTAAAACCCAGATATTCTAAAAATTGATTCATTCATGTGGTTAAATGTTGGAGAGGTTAAGTTGTAGAGAGAACTTGCGAGTCCTAACTTCATCTCTCAAACAAAAACTGTTTCATTTCATGTCATGTGTAAATTTAAGAACAAACATTTTGTTTCATTTAAAGTCAAACAAAACAGTGGGCTCGACTAAATTAATTTGTACAGAGCTGTAGGCAAAACGAAATAAATCATAATACTGTCTAGACTAGGACACTACCACCAACCCTACAAACCAACGGCACGTTTGAAGTAGTCATAAACTCTAAGTGAAAGTAACATTTAGTTGATTAGGAATTCAGGGTTGAAACAATATATTCCATGTACGATTTTGATTTTTCCCTTACCTCATTCATGATTATAGTGCCTTCAATTGCCAGCAGCAGTTCTTTCAGAGTTTTTCTCACCACAGTAATAACTTTCTGCATCCAATCAATTTCTTGTCGCAAAAATATATTCAGAGAATTAAGAGGGTCCATTTTCTTTAATCTGAAACCAGTGTCATTTAATGAAATCCAAATTGTTTAACTAATATCGCAAGTGGTAAATTGAATCTTATTTAACTTGTATGGTTATACTTTCTTAGTGCAAAATACTACCATAGACTAACCAACAGAAGTAGTAGACTTCCCATTCCATTTTAAATTTTGAAGCTCGTTTTTTGTGTCTTGTTCATTTTCGGTGACACTGTATGTCTAGTGTCCACGAAATTTTGTTTATATTATTCTAGAATTAATTTAATGACTTGTGCTTTACTGTTTGGTTATATAACTAGAGGATGAGTTATTGCTTATGATTATATTGTTTTATTTGGTTAAACGGGATTTTACATGACTGAAATAACAATAAACAAATTGTAAACAAAACACGACATCCACAGTGCACTGGACAGAACTAACGATAAAATTGGCTTCAGCTGTTCCATAAGGATGGGAAATCTACCAAGGAAGTATGTTTTATCTATGATACTACATTTAAATATACACTCTTCAAATTTAAATTTTTAACTTATAGAAATGTTTTGAACTAACGTAGTAAAATCATTTTATTCAGTATATGCTATTGATTTCATTTAAACCCGAACTGCTTCAGCATTGTAAAATAAAACAATCAAACCCAATAGTCTCCTTGTACTATTGAATGAAACACAATATAACTTTCTCTGGAAAAATAATTTGTCGCAGACACAATGAAACAATTCAACAGAAGTTTCTATCTCCTCAGTTGGGAGTTTTTGTTTGGAAAGTCTTTTCAAATACATAGAGTATGAGAAAAAGATTTTTTTTTTCTAAAGTGGTTTTTTGGCTGTTATTTTTTATTGTGAAATTAACTAGTTGAGATGTGTACAATGTTTAAACACAGTTGCATGTTTTTAGCTCTATGTTTTTATGGCTTACATGGTGTAAATGGTTTTGCTGTAGTAAAAAAATGTCTTCAAAATAAATATTTTCTTAATATGGAGAAAGTCAGTATTGTTCAAGAACCGTTTGGGTATTTCTTGTATATAATGAAACATCTTTTACAAAAATGTTGAATAGGCTAATGTTTTTTTTACCTATAATTTTTTTTTTATCTTTGGTCAAATTAAACTTTATTAGATAGTAATACATAAGTTCAACATTTAAAATCATACTTTGGCTGACAATAACCTTGCAACAGCAAGGTTACCCTAACTCTCCTCACACCTATTCCAATTGCAGATATGAACAAAGACCACTGTACGATGCCACAACACAAAACTGTGTTATTTACAACAGCACATTCCTGACCTTGTGTGGATGTTTTATAACCTACTTCAAATGGCTGTTTGGAGCCACAAAGTGTAAGTAATAAGGGTCTACTGGACCACACGAAGGAAACTAAGTAATCATTAAATATCGTACAGTCTCCAATAAAACCCTCAGCAAATACATTATTTGTACAGCAATCATTGTGTGACAGTTTTTCACTCCTCACCTTTCTTTGACCTCAAACGGGTCATAGTCCTTAGGCAGCTTACTGAGCATCTCTTGTGCCAGCCTAGTCACAACACTCTCTCTAGACTCTCCCCCCTCTGCTCCACCCGACTCCTTTGGCTGTATAGACATGATGGTGTCCAACAGTGCTGTGGTGGTGTTGCTCTGGTACCTGGGGGTAGAAGTACAAATTAGAATCATTTATTTATCGAAGAGGCTAGTTGGTTTTAATAACTTATTTTTTCATCTGTCTGCCCACCTAGGGCTGAGGGGTAGACTCAATACTATAAAATGTTCACGGATCAGGACGAAGAGCTCCAATCTCCACGTCTAACTTTGGCTTTATATTCCAAAATAAGTTTGGTAATACAGTACTAGCAATCCTACACCATCAGAAACCTTGAAACGGTCCGTCCCCAACTTATAACTTACACTCTTTACTATTTTTGACTTAACCAAAGTTGAAAGTACTAAGTCAGAATATGAATATACCATCTACCTTCACAAAAGAAACCATTAAGATATAGAAGTACGTTAAATGTACCTTGACTTACTTCATGAGTGTTACAAGGAAAATTGATTCCGAAGGGAAATTGATTGATTCCGACAATTGCCAATGACACCCGATGCCAACAACCAGACCTAACAATGAGCCTCACCAATACGATGATGTTGGACCCTTACATATTAGTTCCAGGTCTCTCTCCTATTTTGTCTTCTAATTCTAGGGGTGCCTACCAAATGTAAACTTCCAAGTACAGTCTTCACCTGTGGTTCTTTTACGCTTGCATATACAGTTACAAGTGGATATTTTGTTGTAATGCAGGACATGAAGGTTTGTGGAGGATTTTAATTTTGACTTGCTACTGATGCATTCTAACACCTATTTGAATAACTACTTACAACATTTTCTACAAATATAACTCACGTTATGTCCGCATTGGGGTGAAGCCCATAAGCTTGAGGGGGATCAGTTGGACTCATGTTATCGATAGCTTCCAAATACTCATTCAGATTCCTATACACCAATATTCCGTAGCCAGTGTTGAAGCGGTAGTCTTCTGCAAACATTGCCTCTGAGAACCAAACTTTGGTGAATGTGTTGAGCAGTCTCTTGTCATAGTCGTCCGTCACTCTTCCTCCGTACTGCACCTCTCCCAACATGTATCTATAACATACAAAGTTACGGTAACTTATTAAGTAACATATTTGGTAACTTCCAATCTCAATAGCTCCAACACAAAAGACCACCCCAACTTACTGTTATAAGTTTAGGAAATAATCAGGATTTGTTTAGTTTTTGTTAGTTTTCAATTTTAAGCGCTATCAAGGATATAGTATTACATTGAAACCTGCCTATTCGGACATGAATAGTTTGTATTAGTAATTAAATTAAATTCTCATTTTGCAATACATTCTAAAACAATAACGAGGTTTTATCAATTACTTAAAACTTTAATAGCAAGTCTCTCATTAGCAATAATCAAATAAAACTTACTATCGAGGTAAAACACTCAACCTACTGAAGAAAATGATTTACCAGCTATTTAATGCTTGTCCACTGTTGTATTGAGTTTTTTCAATGTGAGTTTTAATTTTTTTCAAAAGAACCCGACTACTGTTTTAAGTGGAACATGACAGTTGCAGAAGGAAATCATTAAACTAACAGTTGTATCTCCGTTCCTTGAGTCCCCTCTCAGACCAAGCAGGAGGTACTATGGTCTGAAGCCAGAAACTTCTTGTTTCGTATCAGTATTATTGATAGAGAGATGGATATTATTTTTATCATAATCTATTATTTTTCCCCACCTGACAGTATTCCAACTTATTCCAATCTTAGGGTCGATGTCATCCAAGTGATTCTGTATGAACAATGTTGAAGCGTACCAGTCCGAGTAGTTGAACTCGTATGGTATGTTCCATCCGAGCGGTCCAAATTTGCGTCTTTCCTGTCATCCAAACATTTTTCATGACAATTAAAACAAATATCTGATAAAATTGTGAATTTATATTATGGTGACAGTATAACAAGTTGTTGATATTTTGGGTGTTACCAAAAGTTTTTGCTGCAATTGTTTTACTTTCTCCCCCTATACGGAGAAAGTAGTATGGATGTATTGGTTTTGGTTTTGGTCCTCCCTGAACTCAAAAAAGTTGTTTTCGAAATGATGTCTGTGTGTGAGGATGTGTAAAGTGCAACAGACCACACCTGACATCTGATTTTGACAACATTTTGGTACAGTAGAACCCCTCATATCCGGCCACCACGGGACCAAGCCCCTGGCCGGATAACGATTTGGCCGGATAAACCAACCTACTATGAAAATGACAATTTATACCTAATAATAATAGGTAATCAATATATGCAATCAAAAGTATCATTTAATTCTGTTCTGGGATCATTTTTAGAAAAATAAACATGTTTGTAAAAAGAAAAAAAAATATTTGTAGGTTAAAGTCATTAAGTAATGAATGTACAAATATTATGATTCCAGGTAACAAACCCTATTAAATGGAGGTAAAAATGACAATAAATTGTACTTGAAGATAATTAGGACTTAAATGGTACATGCATTTCTACTCAACATTCTTATTTTGTGAAATACAAAAATTAATGTATTGTACTGTACTAACCCCACTTTGGAAATAATCAACCAACTGATCAGAGGTTAGGCCTTCTAGCTCAACTGAGTATAGTGACTCAGCAAATAAATGTATATACAAACAGATAAGTAAAGAGAACAATTTATTTTATGACTTGAGCGGTCACAAAGACTAGTGCTTGCATCTAAACGTCCGTAAGCTGTGAGAAAAACATTTTGATAATGGCTTCTTGAAGGGGCCGGATAAACAGAGGACCGGTAAAACCAAGGCCGGATATGAGGGGTTCTACTGTATGTGGGTCCCTTACTTCAGGAATTTTTTCCGTTTTAGTTTTTAATGGTGATTTTTCATAAAAACCCATAAAATAGCAGAAAAAATGTATTTTCATAAAAACTGCCTGTTCAATGTTTTGATTGAAATGTAGGGTTTTATAGTCCATTTAACTCTAATCTAAATTTTAAAAAACAATAATATATTATAGTTACTCCCACAGCTTATTCATGATAAATGTTGTTGACACACTAATAAGAGGAAGTATGTGTCATATTGCTGATACCGTTTATTTTTACCAAGAAGTTTAATTTTTGTAAAGAAAAGTTTTATGAAAAGTTACTGTTTATTTGGGTTTTTTATTTTTCCTGAACTTAGTGTTTCAAATTCTGTATTTGCAAGTACTCAAAGTATTTCTAATCTCCTAATGTAGTGCTCAAATTCATTTACTGGTTACACGTGCTTCAGAGGGTTGCGTTGAGGCAATTCAGTTGAAACAATTTTAACAATAATAGTCCAAAACACTGCAAAGGCATTATCCTACAACTGGCTACAATGTGATTGAATTTCTGTACAATATTCAGTTTACCTGCACCACTGTGTGTAGGAAGGACAGAGCGTATATCATGGGCAGATACTGCTGAGCTCCACTGTAGTCCAAGAGATCCTGACTCATGTTGCCGTACGTCCGCAACAGGCCGGCTCTGATACCTGCAAATTAGCCATCTTGTTCTCTGCACCACTACAAAGTACTCTATGTACAGTTGTTACAAGTTCCAAAACTGATCATAACTCTATCATGTTAATGATCAATCATAGGTGCTGTATGATCAAATTCAAATATGATTTTTAAATACCTGAAGACTTTGATCTTGTTTTTCCGTTTTTCCGTTTGAAAGGTCCTCACAAACATACATACAAACACAAATACACAGAAACAAAAACGAAAACGAAAACATCAAAGAAAAATTTGGTCAAATTACAAATATTGATTGCTTAAGTGTTTCTTGTCTGAAAATGGAGAGGCATTTAATATCTCCCCCAAATATGCATAAAATCATAAAATGTACTTGTATACTTAACTGTCAACAATAATGCCTTTGATCAATGGGCATCCTGCAAATAAACCCGACTAAAGTATTTAAATCCAATTTAAAACGAAACATAAAAATCTATATTTTACAAAGCTAAATCCATTAAAGTCCAGCTTTGTTCATACTATTAAGGCTGAGCAATTCACCAGGAAGAGCTATCACAGAGCAATCATTAACTATCAGATTTGTAGTTAAAGATTAATTGGTTGTTGGAGATTGATTACCTTGAGGCGGTTCATTGGTGAATTTGATTGATATCTGCAGTAGAGATATGGGGAACCTCAAGTGAGGCTCTGTGGTTATCCACACCCGGAAATCTGGGTGGACATTGTCTGCCTCGGCCAGTAACATGAACAGCTCACTCATGTAGTCAATGCCCAGATGACAGTTCTGCAGCAATACCCAGCCACCCTGGCAAACGAGACAAGTACTACAAACATCACTCTAGTAACAAAACAACTAAATGTTATAGACTACATAAATCTTATGCTGGCAATATAGTTTTGTGTTTGATAAAATTGAATCTTCCATTGTAAACTATTGGAACATTTTTGCACTTGATTAGACATTTGATATTGGAATTGTAAGTCCAGGGTAAACAGACAAACTTTCAATGATAGTGATATATTGTAATAGATAACACCAAGTACTTTCAAGGGAAAGCGGTCCAAGCCCTTCAAATCTTTGTGGATATGCAGAATGCCTATCTGTCACACTTAAGTCCGGGAACATACCCATCAAGTGTATACAATATTCTAAAGTTTCTATAGAATATAATAAAGTAGCTGTAACAAAAAGCAGAGGAAATGTCAACTATAAATGATCTACACTCTAGTATAGGTATCTGACTAAATTTGGTTTCACGTGTTAACCAATGTTGTTGTTTAAATAAATCAACAGTATTGGTTTTACCACTGTATTGAATTGCGTAAAATTAAACTCATATCAATATAATCATCAATCTAATACGGGAGAATTCAATTTTGAGAGCATTCAAGTTAGTTGTTGGAGTGACACAAAAGCCTGATTAGGTGATCAATAGATAGCTCTGTATCAGGTTGTCAGAAACAGTAGTTTAAATTTGATTTTTGACTCATTTCCCACTAAAGAGTTGTTTATTCATTCACTTAAAAATGTAAATAATCACAAGCCTATCCTTTAAACATTAAAACATTTCAACTTACATTTTCCTTAAAGTTGGCGACCAACTTCCTCGCGTGCACCTCCTGTCCTTGTCCCATGGAGATAGATTTGCACTCAAACTCGTGACGTTTAGCAGCGCTCTCTATCAGTGGTGTGGGGTCTGAGCCCATGCTGAGTAGCCCAATCATCGGAGTCAAAGGTCTCGACTCTGACCACAGCACGTCAATGTTGAGGATCACGGGCTCTGTGTACCGAGTGTCCATACTCGAGGCGACATATTTCTTGGACTGTGCCAGAGTTCTATCCTGGCACCAGGCTCTCACCATGAGCAGTCTTCTGAACGGGTCCAAAGCTTCATACCCATCGGGCATGGGTTCCTCTTCCGGTGCAGGCTTGTCAAACCAAACCTTCCAATACTTTTCACTCTGAGGTACTTGATTCAAGATAAACTTGAAATGTGGCAGGGTTGACAGCTGGACCAAATTGAGCCAAACAGAATCCGTTATCCATTTACACGGTTTGGCCGGACAAGCGTTCAAGTCCAGTGCAGAACCTCCTTTGATAAAGTTCTGAAACTCTTCGTGCGTTATAGCTTTTCTCTGCAAGTCCACTTTCATAGTGAGCAACAGTGTGAACATGTACTTGTGACTTTCGTACAACCCTCGGCACTTGTATTTGAACACTTCATAAGTGAGGTAGTCTATTATGAAATTAATTCGCTTCTGAGCGACCAAACTTTTCTCGGACTTCGCCATCGAAATGTCAAACCTCTCTAGAAACTGGACTAGAGACGTTTGGTACATGCAGTTCACCATGGACATGTCTACAATGAGAAAGTAAAGGATGCTTCCACGAGTAGCTACAGGTCTGAATTCCTCTCGAGCTGTGTTGATTTTAGCTTCTGTTGCTGCGGCAATCTTCAGCTTCTCACGGACTGATGCAGCCGTTGTCTGAGTTACGTTCAATACTGCTATCACACTCTCATCATCCACTAGGGATCCTTGCACTGTTGTCAACTTGTACAGAAGATTAGTCTCTAATTCCTTCATCTTCCGTTTGTTAGCTGTAACGTCCTGAATCAACGAGGTCCTTTCAAACTCCAGTTCTTTCTTCTCTGTTAAAATCACCCGACCCAACAGCTGGTCCTCCAAGCCTTTCATTGTGACAGTAAAGTCAATTATGTTGGTTCTTGCAGATATCTCTGGGGAGTACGCGGGGTTTGCTAGCTTAGTAGTGATGTAGAGCCGGAAATCTTTATTAACATCCATTTCCTTGTCACCCACTTTGACTTTTAGAGCAGTTCCTACTTTGATGTAGTTTTTCTCTAGCACATTGTCAAGAGCAGGGTCTAATTCTTCAAGGACGTCCTCAATAAGCATAGGTCGTCCGAGAGACAGACAATCTTCAATATGGTTGCGGAAATATTTGTGATTTAGGGATGTCACCTAAAAAGAAGTAAATAATCAAATTTGAGCTTTTAAATATGAGAATCATTTATCTGGACCTAAAACGTCAATCCAATTTGTTTCAAGCAAGGATTAAAAAGAAAAACTACACCATGCACAAAATCTAAGAAACCAAGTCATATCATTTGTGTTAAAAGTCGAGTGGCTTAAGTGCTCGCCAACAAATTCAAAGGTTGATCAACCTAGAAATAGTTCAAGGGCTATTTCATGGTTAGTGAAGTACAGGTTATTGTTCGTTGGTAACAACCCCAACAGACAAAGTTAAATCAGACTTCAGATAATTTCCTTACAAAAAACAATATTACAAAGATAAAATAAAAAAAATGAACACAACACTCTAATTTATTAACAACACTGGTCTTTATGGGGATGGCATCATGCCATGTTGATTCGATTCTCAACTCTACAGATTCTTGCCATTGAAACAGAACTGAGAATCGATCTAGTTGATTCCAATTCTATCGATTTCAGCCATCTGTTATATTTTCTAAATAATTTACAGGCTATCGTCTACTATAGTACTGTAGTAGCTGCTCCTGCTGCTGGCTACTAAAGTACTGACCGCAATGCAGTCTTAGAGCTATGTAAAGAGTTTAAAGGTCAATAATACATCCGTAATTATTTACATAATGTTCACTATACTTCACTGAGAATTCATCAAACAAATTCTAACCTGCAAGTTGTTCTCCTTCTCCTTATTTTTGATCCACGCGATGCCTTGACTCTGGGGATCTATGAGCAGAGGGAACCTGGCTGCTTTGGTCACAATGATGCCGTTTTGTATAGACAGCTCATCACTCGGTAGCCCCTGAAGTTAGTAGACTGTTAGTCATCAATTTGTTTTTGCATTGGGTAGTTATACAGCTAGTGGAGTAGTCAACTTATTGCCTATTTGGACTAGTTGATAGTTGAACAGTTACTTGATTTATAGCTCATCAAGTTTTTGCCCATCCTAGCTGGAGGGCAAGAGCAACGCGACCGACGCGACCAACGGTCGCTGCTTTTACTGACAAAAATGTGTGTCCACACTGAGCTGCGCGACAACAGCGATAAGGTGTCGCGTCACCGATGTAGTGCTACCAAATACAAACATGTTTGTATCTCAAAGCGTTTGTAGCGTGACCGACAAGCGTGATGCCGCTCTTGCTGCTCAGCTAGGACACTCCCTTTACCTACCATGTGTTTGTATCTGTCACTCTTGTCGCCCAGCTGGGACGGGGCCTAATGTGTAAAAAAAGTTATGGGCTAGAACCCCACAATATGAAAGTGGGGCAAAAAAACTACAAACGTCTGTGGCTCTGCTGTAAAAATGAATTAAGCTAAATACAAAATCAACATCAGCAACAACGACCCACAGAACTGAGGAAATCCTGTTGAGACATGAAAGACATTGATTTTCAGTTTAAACAGCTAGACTGGTCGATGTACCTGTAGGTTCCATTCCCCAATAGTCGGAGTGTCCACCAGGTTCTCAGTCAGGTTCAGGTTGGGGGTCACAGGTATGCTGCGACTGACCAGTTGATTGTACCAGGTAGTGTTCAGCAATGTGCGGAACTCCTGGTTGAACGGACCAGTGTATGATAGGAAGCCGGTGAGTAACACGACATCTCCTACTAGACGATCAGTCTCCGCCTTGAACATCTGCGACTGCTCCGTCCACCTCACCTGCGGCATTCATGCATTACAGATTAATTTTTGGGGTCAATCTAGGATATTTCAAGATATTTTTTATGCTAATCAAATCACAGTGCTGATTAAGTAAGTCTACAAAGTCATACATTAAAGATTAATCTTTGGATTCCTTTGGGTAAATGCAAATACAACAGTATATTTTGAAGTAAAGGTGAGTGAACATAATATAGACCCAGTGCTGTTGTACAGAAACATTATTTTATTTAAATAGATCTTTGACTGAATCAGCCATTTATTTGATTAAAAAATTACATGCTTATGTCTTTATTTTTTTGTAAAATATTTAAAATAACGATTTTAGGGAAAGCCAAGTGGTTGACTGAGATTTTTCATAGAGATTTCAGCTTTAGCTATCTTACCTGAAAAAATTAAGAGCCCAGGAATGGATAGCTACACAATAAAATAAAACATCATTGATTTTCTTATAATGTAAGAGTTCTTCACAGAGTAAATTACCTTGTTTAAAATCAAGTTTCTCAGGGTTTCAAGACTAGTGTTTTTAAAGATTTGGTAACTGTATCAACCAAAATTTTACTTAATTAACTTATTTGGAAGATAACATTTTGTCAAGTATCTATTAACTTGTTGGCAATCAGAATACCTTAATAATTAATTCATTTTAAAGTACCGGTATAAAATTTAGTGTTGTTGCTGCAAGTGTGTACCTAATTCATTATAAATGATTAGATACAGTATTATTTAGCGAACTCACCTGTTCTCCTGACAAACCGTTGATCAACGCAGAAGCTGCGTCCATTTTTGACTTGACTTTATTGGCAACATCTAACACTTCCTGTCAACAAATTCAACAAACTTAGATAGGTGCACTGTTTTGCATTAAAATTTATTGAAACATTAACAAAATAATAGTTTTCCAACAGAGTAGGCTCATACAGCCAGAATCATCAATCAGCACAACAAGCACAGTTATTTCACAAATTATAAAGCACCTTTAGCAAATTAAATGTTGTGTACAAACAATAACCAACCTGTTTGGAGGCCATGGCAGTGTCAAACAGTTTTTGTGCTGCTGAAAGTTCAGTTTCTTTGGCCGCAAGCATTTTCTCAGCTTCTGCCAACTCTTTGGACGCAATGTTGAACCTGTTTTGTTGTATTGCAAGGTTTGCCTGAAAGAAAATACAGTTTGTATAGCAAAATTTTGATCCAATTACATTAATTTTTAATGTTTGCTGATGCTAAGTTAATGTTATTTGGGGGATTATTGCACATTTTATATCTGAGTTGTATAAAAGTTGTTGAAGGGTAAAATATCAAAATACATTTTAAAAATTTACACATAATGTTAACTTTGTGGGAAGGCACATCAGATGCATCAGTAAAATACTCCTGTAAGAATAAGAATAAGAAGTAATCTCGTTTGTTTTAGTTTTTAGGTACTTTCTCTAGATCTGGAAACGATGTGAAAACTTGTTTTATTGTTAATTTTGATAGAAAGTATCCACAACAATCCCTCAACACAACCACAAGGACTAACCACAGTATACATGTAGACTTAGAACAGGGCACATGCTAATGCAGTTAGTTGATAAAACTTTAAAGATTCTTTGCACTATTGATACAAGTTTCTAGTCGTAGGTACCTTGAGAGGCAGAACATCTTTGTTGACATTGTAGAAGGACTTCATGGCAGTGGTCCACTGCAGTAGACCGGCTACATTGCCACAAGCCACTTTCGCATTGTCGTACGTGTAGAGAGGATTGTCCAAGTAGGGCAACATCAAGTCAACCATTTCGCCAGTGATCTTGTCCTTCGGAAAGTTCTGAAGGTTCGACAGAAACCGAGTGTCAGCCATTACCTGGAAACAAGAGTGTTATTGCCAATTTGCTATGTTGACCCAGTTAGTTGACCCAGCTGGGTGAGTTTACAACAGAGTAAGATGCCTTGTACAGCTTTGTTACTGACTTTAGACTAGATGTTTCTTTAGCCAAAACCATTTATTAAAATCTCAATAATGGAGGGCTAGGTTCACTTTAAAATGTCAAAAAGCTACTGACTTTTCTCAGGATCAAACCAGCGACCTTTTGATTACTAGGCGAGCACTATAACCACTCAGCTACCCAGCCAGTCATGATTACTCAGTGTAGAAATGATTAGTCTATTAAACACTAAACAACACGTTTTATGTTAGGTTAAATCCAAGCGTTGAATCAAATGGGAAACACTGCAACAGCTGATCGTAGTCATAGTATCTTTAAGTGTTGCCAAAATATTTCCAAGCATACATGGATTCGTGTATAATAATAGCTCGCTGTTTTGTGTTGTTTGGTTGGAATACTGGTGTACACAAAAAAAAATAAAAACTGTGCGGCAAAAAAAAAACCATACGACAAAAGTAAGTAAAGGCAGCAATTAGAAACTTTCTGTATTATAATCAGTGCAAGGAAGCCCGCTTTCTCAGGTTACTGTAGGAAATATACTTTTAGTATCTCATAGTGGATTGAAAACTCAATTTTGCTAGCGTGCAATACCCTCTTTGTAAAAGTTTCCAATACTGCTACCCTGCTACTAAACTTGTATATACAATTTAAGTTACCTTCAACGACTCAGCCCAATTAGGGAACAGAAAGTTCTTCTCGGGATCAGGCCTAACTTGGTCGACTTTACGTTGAAACAGGATCAAAACAACGTCCATGATTAGGGTGACGAGGTATGGCGGTTTGCCAAGTTTCCTCACAGTGGCAATGTCAGTTGACTTGATGGTCTGTGCAAAAAAAAAAAAAACACATGAAAGTAAATTTTCTATATGAAAACGCTTGATCTAGAAACTAAGATATTTACACCATTCATTGTAGATTATGTACGATACATGAATAGTATCGTATGGTTTGCTTTGGTTGAGTTCTATCAGCCACTTAAATTTGTAACTCACCAGCAACGCGGCTTCAGCCTCCTCCAGAGCAGGTCTGGCAGCCTCTAGTTTCTCCTCGGCGACAGCCTTATCAGCTTCTATCTCCCTGACAATGGCCGTAGCTTTGTCCTTCACCTCTTCCACTTCTGCCTTCACTCTCTCAGCGGCTGTGGCCACTACTGTCACATCCGCCAACACCTACAAGAGAAAACTGGACATGTTTAGTTGTTCTTTGTGCCACCTTCACATCCTTGGGTGTAGGCTCTACCTGGAACCGTTTTGCACATTACTTCAGGCTAGGCATAGAGGATTGCGGCATTACCACTTCGATAAAGTCCATTGGTAGTTGTCAGGATTTGAACCCGGGACCTCAGGCCTTAAGTCCCGCACTCTACCACAGACCAGTGCATGCAGTTTGCTCGTGCATGAATATGGACAACACTGTAACTAACAGAGACTATGTCAGCCACTGGACAGCATTCTTGAAAGTTTTTTTGTATTTTTGGGTCAAAAACTAGGCATAAAAACCTTTGACTATAGAAAGAACTAGAAATTCCATTTCCAAAGCTGTAGCCAGTAAAAAATTGAACATACAGTTGAACTGAGCCATCAACAAGGTTGCTGATGTGAACTACTAATTTCTGTTGAACATCCCAACTTTTTATCCATGCCAAACTTAAAACACAACTTCTTGTACAAAAAGCATCTTTTATGTCACATAAAATAGCTCAGTAACATTTAAACAAGATAATAGAATTTTAAAAAATAGCCATAATCTTATAACTCATTCAATTGTGCTCTTTTTTAAATAATGAATTTGGTTACAGCATAGATCCATATAGATAAGTCTACTTAATTATCCAAAAGTCAATGATCAATCATACCGGTACTTCCATTTATGATTGCCCCTCACCTCTTCAGCTTTAGAAGTTGCGACTGCAATGTCCTTCTCCTTCTCAGCTAGATCCACACTCAGCTCTTCCACACTAATGGCTGCCTCCTTCAGCTTCTCAAGGCCGACATTCATCTGCTTTGCCATCACCTCAATGTCTGCCAGCCGCTGCTTGTATATGCCTTTGTACCCGTCGAGAAACGAGAGGAACGACTTGGGTGTCACAAACGACTGTCGCCGAAATCTGAACAAAATCAAAGCTTAAGAGTTGTGAACCGGCTTTTAAAAATATGGGTAAAGTAGATAGAAATCATAAGAATATTTTAATAATTTTTTTACTTTTGAAAAAAAATGAAAATGAAAAATCTTTTATGTTAAATTATGATATTTTACTTCACATTTACACAAAAAATTAAAACTTTACCTAATAGTAAATCCACAAAAACATGCTATGTCACTTAAATTTGTTTGACTGTCTGGTTGTCAAATCTGAAATGATATTGCATTAAAATATATTTTATAAATACACATGAATTCTTTTACACAACATATGTTGTACGGACTACCCATAGCTGGCTTGACAGCCCAAGATGCTATCACTAACCTATTATGTTCCATGTAAGAATCAATAACCATACTCAGATATAGATTACAGGGTATTCAACCTTACCAGACATAATCCTCCTTACTTGTTGTAATACTGGACGCAAGTGTCAGCCACAATGTCCTGAACTTCGGCCATGACGTCAATAAGTGAATCCTTAACACTGGGTGAGCTGACGATGGGGAAGTTCTTGAGGAAGTGACTCGACACTGCTATTAACGCGTCTTTGGGCCATCGCGAGAACCAGTCCATCGTACAGCCTGAGATCAATCCAGGGAACTTCATTGATCTGGAGCGGAATTTCTCACCGACCTACAAACAAGGAACAATTATGTTACCGGTAACTGCTAGTTCAATCTCATGTATTTGAGAACTCTACAGGAGCGTTAAATACTTACTATGACATTTTTGGTCAACATGGCTTTGTACAAGGGTTTTTAAGAATTTTGTAATAGATTAACAGCAGGCGTACCTTACTCAAAAAATATGGAATTCGCAAATAAACACATAACACAGAATTTGGGGAGCTACTAGCTGACTTCTTTAGTGGTAGAGTCTTTCTATGTTATTGTAGGTTGTGGAAGGAGCTATACTCTGTCTGAATTTAATGTGCGGTTGAAGGACAAATTTGTTTTCCCCTGTTTTCTCCCTGGCCCCTGCCACCACCACATATTAGCCTACAGCTGATTCATACTGTTCATAATTTTACAACATGTGTCACTTTGTTTACATTTTAGTAGTAAACAACATTGTGATTATTATGATGATATTTTGTGCAGTTTAATATTATTCAGTCTGGGTTTAATTGATTAGTGTTAATTAGAAATAGCCAAAACAGTGCAAAACTTAACTGGAGAAGGAAACAAATGCATTGCAGCACATAATATGGACTCCGAAGATTGTAATATAGAAAATATATCAAAAGATTATTGTAATGGATAATGAACCATTCGAAATGACTTAACAAAATTCCAAGTTCAAAATCAAGAAAGGCAGGACATTATGAAGTGGCTATCAGATAACGGTATTGAACACAATCCAGTCCACACAGTAACAGAACTCCTTACCACCGTGCGGCAGCACAGGCAAGATTTTCCCCCACAGTACGAACTGGATGAACTTAGACAACAATGAAAAAATGCAAAAACTTAAATATAGCTGTTTTATACAAATGGTTTAATTTTTGTGTATCTTTAAACATAACTCGTTCATTCAAATAGTATGATCAATTTGTTATGTTAGTTTATCCTCAGTAAAAAAAATTATAGCAAATAATGTATGGTATAATAAAACAAGTTTAATGAAATGACTCCGTTGTTCATCATGAGTAGGCCTACTCTGATGTTGTACACTGATTATTCAGACATAAAGAGGATAACCCAATGGTTTTCATCCTGATCTGACCTTAGGGCTCCGCTAGAGACCTTGACAAAGTTCCCATTGTCGACGGTATTAAAATAATAACTAAATAAGAAGTGAAGAATCGCTTTAGAATTGTGAAACCAGTTCACCACGATATTAACTAATTTAATAATGTATAGTTACATTACCTGAACTGAAATTGTATTTAAAACAATCCATCAAAAGCATAAAGCATAAATGTTAGCCCAAGATTATCTATATTACAACAAAACATCTAGTGAAATTAAAATTAATACGTAGATTATTTATGTTAAAATAAATCTTCTTGTTTTATTATGTGTGTAGTTCAATCATAATAAACAAATGCTTCCTAAAAACCTGTCTGCAATATAAAACAGATGATTGTTACGGGTATTTTAGTGTAGAAAAGGGTAAATGAGAGGGAGATTTACCATAATAGGGAAATCATATGTTGAATTCCAACCGCACAATTATTTTAGACAGACTTTAGTAAGTATATAACTAGCAAACTAGCATACGTAAGTACTAGATGTATAACTAGTATATATAAGTACACAACTCCTTCCACAGCCTACAAGAACAAAGACCTTACTAAGAAGCAGATTGTGGCTGAAAAAATCCATGAGTTATGTGTTTATTTGTGCATTATTCTCATTTTTGTTTGTCAGTAGGTAAGCCTGCTGTTAAACCCACTAAAAATTCCTAATGAAATACAGTGATTTTATATCCTTTCTCTTAAAAAGTAATCTGTTGCTAAGCTTGTATTTTATTAATACTTTTGGTTTTTGGTGAACACTTATACCTAACTAGTATATTCACAAAAGAATAAAACAAACTAGTAAAAGAAAGAACATTTTTGTCTTATTGCCATCTCAACACTAAAACAAACATCATAACAAAAACATAAACCATATGCTTTTAACAAGACAATATAGAATAGAATATTAGACATATGATCCAATATCACACTTCTCCCCCTTCAGATAAAGCTCCGCTTCTCTTACGTAGCTCACACACAAATAAATAAGAATACTTATGTTTTACAAATAAATATATATTTTGTGTCACGCTCACCGGTGAAAAACACAATACGATGTGGAGGTTATTTCGAGCAGATGAAATAAAGAAGTCGTAAAGATTGTCTCGTGTTGGTGGCCTTTTTGGTTGCTTCCTCTTCATTACTGGCACTAACTCATTGGTGATTTCATCCAGTTCATCTTTTGCAAATAGATTGGCCACCTGAAAAACGTTACAATATACATGTATTGACCAAGGATTATAATGTCCAATTAGTCCAATTATAAAAATAGTGTAAATAGTAGTGTACTATTAATGTATTTATTTTTGTACAACATTTTTTCCCCTATTCATTTTTTTTACTTATAAACTATTAATATAGTGAATGAAATTAAAAGTAGCCTAATCAAGTTTAGGAAGGACTATTGGTAAAGTGCAAGAATTAATAAAAATTTTTGTTAGTACCTAACATTTCCCCGCACAACATTGTACTCATGGGTTTGATGTTGCACTACAAGTTAATTAATTATTGACTTAATAATCGTTTTTTGAATGAAGTGTTGTTTTCAACTTATGAAAGAATTCCCTAGATTTAGATGTTTTAATGTAACAATTATTAAGAGAATCTGGTTTACAAAATAAACACTCTCATTTCAGGAAAAGTTCAAAATATCGAGGTATTAATTAATATACTATTATTGACTATTGGATACTGAAGCTACTACTAAAATATAGTTACCTACCATGAAGGACATCCATATCAATCTACATCTAAAATCTATAGGGTCCAAATGTCCCAAATACAAAATTGAATACTGAAAAATGAAAATGTCCTTTTTATAAGGTTTTGCTGCTTAACCTTACTGAGCTACATAACCTTACTGAGCTACATAACCTTACTGAGCTACATAACCTTACTGAGCTACATAATCTTCCTAATTTAAATTTCTGTTAAAAAAATCTAGTTCTGTAAAGATAATTAACACAATGTGGCAAAAAGATTTTAATTAAAATCAACAATGAGATTTGATTTGAAGAATTACAGATGAGTTTGAGTTTACACTTTAAAGGCTATTTTGGAACTCACTTCTCCAGCGCTCAAGACGTTATTTAGGAACTCTAGGAACGCTTCTTCCTTGACATCATTGTCTGTGAATAAGAAAGTAATTCCTTTCCCTTGAACTCCAGATACTTGATAGAGGAATTTCAAGTCATCCATAAAATTCCCGACATTATAGGATCTAAAATTATCAATCCAAGAATAATTGATTGAACAGTGAAAAACCAATAGTTCTTAAATAGAGTTAGATAAGGTTGAGTAATTCAACTACAAACAAATTTTGATCACAATATATTGCTGTGAACAAAGTCATTTCAGTAGCAGCAGTAGTATAAATATTCTTTCATTTTACTATATAGTAGTACTCTCTGACAGTGAAAGTTTTGTAGCTAATTGACAGGAATAAATTAGCCAATCCTACAGCCAACCTTTTGGAAGATAACCCCTCCTTATTCACCACGATCCTTCCTCTCTTCTCTTATAAACAATATTGCCACAGAACAATGTACAGCAGTCAACTCAAAAAAATACAGCATCAACATTTGCTTGGAAAGTCTGACAAAAAATGAATTCAAAACTTCTAAATAATAACCATTTAGAAAAAGAGCTCTTAGAACCTGAAATGGTGTTTCGTGCACTGCACCCCCCCCCCCCCCCAATCAAATTCTGACCAAACCAAACTTACTCAGGCATATTTAGTCATTACCTGGTCAGTGTTATCTGGTGTGTCTGATAGTTGGCTATGAAAGACGCCAGTCTTGTGAGACTCTGTTTGCCTGAGCCGCCCACCCCAACCAGCATGGCGTTGCCCCGAGCCGTCCTGATGATCCTGGATATCTTCATCAGGTGAATCATCGCGTCCTTGAAGAACACAAGGTCCATGGCCATTCCTCGCACACATTCGTTGTACTGCACCATGTATGTCAGCAACTTCTCTCTCAGCGACTCCCAACTGTCAATAGAATGGAGTTGTTAGTGGTTTCACAAACCTTTTAGTATATAAAAATTCAATTGTCTTAACTCCAATCATATATATTGCCTACCATCCCAATCACCTGAAAATGGTGGTGATTTTAGTTTTTAGCAATTGGTAATCCGTTATTTTAATGTGTGCCAATTGTATCCATCATAGACAAGTCTATTGTATTGTGTATTGATTGGCCTCTAGTCATCTGCCTACCGCACCTATCTTAATTTCCATTAGTCATGAAAATCCATTCATCCAGATTTTTGCGTATCCTGGTGGGGTTTGGTATTAATTGATTCGAACATTAAATATAGGGTTCATTCAATAAGTATCAGGACCGGTTCACTGTAACCTCAAAAGAGCAGTGGAGGTTACAGCCATTGGAGCAGTGGTCCAACCATTTTTACTGAGTTTTCCAAGCTTTAAGCAAAACTTCACAGCCTTGCTTGACGGTACGCTCCATGTTGGCGTGACGACACAATGAAAAAAAAACTCGGCGCCAATATCGACCTCCTGTCTAAACGAATGCCTGTAGGCGACTAAACCAAAGTGCTCCTGAATGGTGCAGGAAACCTCTATCGAACCCAACTGGTTGGACCCCTCTCCACTGCTCTTTTGAGGCTACAGTGAACCAGTCCCAATACTCATCGAATGGAGGGTGTATATTATGTTTACAATTGAATCAATGTTAAGTTAAAATTAAGTAAATACAATTATTGGAGTTATGTACTAGACAAAATATGAGCAAAATGGTTTACGAACTATGAATAATTATGATGTCAGGAACCTATTTTAATCTCACCAAAAATCATTTTAGAGAATTAGGCAAATCTTTACCTCGGTATTTCTTCATATATCTTGGGAGCTTCCAAGACAAAGTCATCAGGTTCATCACCAGTAGGCTCGGGAATGTCTCTCAGAAAATCGACAAAATATGTTTCACTATCATCAAACAGGTGAGCATCTTCCCCAAGGTAAGCAACAGTCGTGTTCAGCAGGTTGTTTGAAAACCATTTTGTGTCCGCTTCATTTGTAAACCTATGAAAAAAAAAACTATAAACATATTAAGAGTTCAAATTTGTACTAAACTATTGTTCTAAGTTTGAAGGGTGGTTATAATATTTGAATGTTGAAAGTTAAACTTTTTAAATTTCAGAATATTAGTTCTACTGAAATAATTTCCAATGAGAGTACATCTTTTAAGAACAAACATAATTAGCACCCTTCAAAATATAAACACTGGTTGAGATTTAACTACACAGTGCGTTTTAGCCAACAAATTTTTTAGACAACCAGAGATGCAGAGCTTTAGGGATTGATATCTAAATTAGAAGAAGATATTAATCCTGGGTATGTAGATTTTATTTGTGAACAAATACAGTTAATTTTGTCCAGCCGTCTTTTGGATGGAAAGAGACAGACACCTCATATAAGTAGGCCTACTAAAATATAGCGAAAATCACCTTTTCATTCACTCATCAACAGTTTATACAACTGACCTGTCCGCAATAACTCTGTAGCACTCGTGTCGCCACAACTTGAGAAGCATCGTAGCGTTGGGACACTCAGCCTCCTGTATTTTCAATATTCCCTCCCATATGCGGGAGAGATCCCTGAGGTTGAAGATGTAATGGAACTTCGCTGGAGTCGGTAACATCTTCACCTTCGTCTGTTGCCAGACCATACGGGTGAGTGGCACAAGGCGAGGCAGGAACTCTACGATTTCCTCTTGGAAACGGGTCAGACAAAAGTAGCCCTCGCCAATCACACCTGTACACAGACACTAGCTTACTTTTTTATTTTCCAACTTAATATGAACATAAACCATGTACTCCTGCCACTATACGACTGAAGAAAATTATTAGGAAATAAAATTGTAACTAGGTATCTTTTGTTCATTGAATAGTAAATAAATATAAATAATAATAATATAACAAAATATATTATAAAAATACAGATAGCACTGCTATCTGGTGTATTCACCTTCTTGTAAAATTGTACAGTACAAGATTACATATATTTCAGCATCTTGGATGATAAATTAATTGTATTACTTATATAGGTATATATGTAATATCACCAACACATACAATGTGAATCAGAAGATTTATCAAATGATGGAAATTTACAATATAGCACAAACTTGATCCATGCATAACGAAGAGTATGTCAGGAAATGTTGAATTGGTTGAGTATATTTCATGTTACCTTATCAAATTACTTAGATGCATAGTAAATACAGAAAAAAGGCCAACAACCAGTTTTTGGTTTTTTGTTATTGAATATAATCAGTATTGTTGTATAAAAAAAATAGCTAAAAACCAATTTGATAGTAGACCATAAATGTGTAACTGTAAGAATCTCATGGGACATTCATTTTGCAGGAGACAAATTCACAATAATCTTTTGAAAATGCTATAATTAAAAAGCATCTAGTTAAACTCACTGAATATCTTATCCATGGACTTGTCCGAGGGCAAAGTACAGTTGAAGATGCAAAACTGGCGCTTCAGTCGAGGAGGGATGTCGTTTCTCCCACCCCCAGGGTGAATCATGGCTGCCAACAGCTGTGGGAAACATAAATAAAATTATAATAACAACAATTAGGACAAACTAAATCCAAACCCTCCCAAAAAAATCCCCAAAAATTTCCTGTTTTTTTTTATAGTGGATGGTGTTTTTAACCCAGGGATAGTTTTCCTCACCTGAGACCTGTTCTTTACTTTGTCCCCTGTACATAATATATAGAGAATGTATTATTTTTGTCAACATTTTTGAGTTTGAGTTTTGGATGGATATATATCCGTTATGTTTGGGTCCCCCTGAACATTTGTTGCATTATTCTAAAATTTTGATTTGTTATAATGGTGGTTTTCCCATAAAAAAAGGAATTTTTACAAAAACGGCTGGAACAATTTTGATTAGTATTTAGAATTTTATAGTCCTATTGACCCTAACAAAACGGTACAACCTCCATTGCTGTAAAAATGGGAATGTTGCTGGAAGTCAACAGTCCCGGAAGATCAAATAATTTATACCTGTGCCGCTAGGTCAAAAACTACAATGTTTGCAGTGTCTGTAGATCAAAAGTCCCAGTAAGTCAAATAATACAGTCCGAGCTAAAAACGTGGTCTATGTTAAAGCAATTGACTTATTGGGAATTTGACCTAATGCAACAGCAGTTTTAATATAACGAAATACGGTAAAATACAAGTTCAGTTTCGCTGAGTCAACAGTGCCGGAAGATCAAAAGCAATAAAAATGAACGTCGATTCAGTGTAAAGTAGACCTCCTGCAACGCTTACTACACTAACAAAACTCGCTTTTAGTTACTTCGTGTTTTGTCATAATTAGAATAGAGCTAAAATTATCATATTTGGTACATAGCTTATCTATTAATGCTTCTTGCCAACTGTTTGGTCAACACTGTAAATAGGTATAGCCTTTCGTCAAAATTTGTGGCATAAAATACCCGCAAGGACGATCTGAAAATTTCTGGTTATTATATACGTTTGTAAAAGGAGATCCATTTAATTGTAGAACTATTTTATGAGTTATAATGTAGTCTACATATAAACTGTGTAAATGTATTACGCCTCGGAAGGGTTGAAATTGAAACCTGTCCAAACTATCATATATACTATTAAAACGTAAATGGGGTTTTTTCACGATTCTGAATCAACCAGACAATGGATTTTAATTAGTTTTGTGTTGAAAGAAAGACAATTTTGAGAACTAGGGAATTTCAAAGCCATAATTTAAAATTAGAGTCCCAGTTTTTTATAAATTAAGTTTTAGTTTTTAAAAAGTCTAGCAGCCGATGCTAACCTTCTCCAATAAGTCAATGCTTCTAGCTAGCTTTTAGTACAATATAATTTGCTTAACATAACAGCTGTAACATTCAGCATTTGTGACACAAATTCAGCATTTGGAAGAAAATTCAAATACATACTTATGGTTGGCTTATTTATACTATGTGTAATGCTGACCATTGATACATTTAATTCTTCGGTACGAGGATGGCAGATTAATTAAATATGCATAGTAAAATACAGTAGTAGGATGTTCAAATTATATTTAAAGTATTCTTTGTAATCATCGATTTGTTTTAGTCCAATATAATTTGTTTTAACTAACTAACAGCTGGTTGAATGTGCTATGTATACTTATAAAAGGCAAAGCCCTCACTGACACACTCACTCTCACTCACTCATCATCACTAATCCTCCCACTTCCCATTTACCTAGGAGGCTGAAATTCGATACACCGATTCTTTGGGCATTAAATAGGAAAACTAAGTAATTTTTATTATGATAGGGCATTCGAGCTTCGCCCCAGTGGCTCTGGAGTTTCCCATGTTAACCTTATGATTTTTCATATTTAAAAGGAATTAATTAATGAATCTTAACAGCTGTGTCAATTAAACAATTTATGACAACAGCTAATTTGCAACCAAAAGCTGAGTGAGCGTTTCGAACGAACTTCAACCTGGAGGCGAGTTAACCCCAAGGCAAGTGAGCTCAGCGAACGAGCTCCAGCCTAAAGGTGAGTGAGCGTAGCGAACGAACTTCAACCAGGACGTGATTGAGCCATGCGAACGAGCTCATCTTGAAAATTAATTAGTTAAACGGGGCAAAGCCAGCGGGTACAGCTAGTTATTCTACATAATTATTAGGTTTTTAGCGAATTTCGCATAAAGGGAATAAGCTATTACCGTAGTACTCATGGCAACACCTGGGCTCGGGACCGATTTAATTTTTTGTTTTGAGTCCCTAGAGGCCAAAAACACCATCCGTTCAAATTCATATATATGTAAGTGTATAAGACATTTTGGGGACATGACTTTTTCGGGTCTCAAGAATTTATACGAAAATACACTATTGCAATATTTTGAGGACTTGAATTTCCGTATGTGTATAAGACATTCTGGGCACTTGACTTTTTCGGGACTCGAGAATTTAGTACTTTTCGAGGACCTGTGCAATTTATTCCATTCCAAATGCAGCGCGTTATATCTTCACCCTTGTGTAGGCCTCCCATTCACTGACGGAATGTCTCGTGGCGTATGACGACCGGATATAAATAGTCACTTTATTACATTTACTGAAACCTCCTTAGTAGTTGTGTTCTTACAACCCTGCTTAAATTTGACTATGGAGAATACATATCTCAAAACTGAGCTGCACGCAATTCACTTTTGTTTCTAAAATCAATTCAATATCTATAACATAACTATTTTTCATTGTCAATGTTTTAAACGATGATGTAATTACAAATACATACACGTTTCGAACTATGGAACGAGTTAAAATAATAACTAATTTGTATTATGTTGTTGATTTATACTTAAATTGATGAAATTTGTACCTGATTAAGAGTAATACTGTTCGCCATACATTCCATACTGTTTCGTAATACCATACATAAATATTTTGAGTATAATAGTGGTTGGCTTTCTAACAAAAGGTAATACAAGTTTTCCATTAGTTTGTCTTTTCTTGTTATTGTGATGTATACACACTGATCTGCAGGTAAAGATTTAACTTTGAAAAAAGCTCAGTTGCTACGGTAAAACATATCAATTATATATATGAAATCATTAAAAACGGGTTTTTTCTTTACTACAGTGCTTTAAGTTACAACGGGGAATGTGTAACTATTTCATACAACAGAGTTCAAGATCAAATTTTTCGCTTTAGTGTCCTCTCCGTTGCGAAGCGCGGTTACAAGCTAATTGATAATAATTGTATTTAATACAAGCCAAAGGTGTCTTATAGATTCCGAGTAAATTATTATAAACTATCAAATGGAGCATGTAAAGTGCATTATAAATAATCAACAAACCCTAACATAATTGACTATTGATTCAGTTAGGTACTGATTCGGGAATTACAATTGCTGATGATAACTGCATGAATGCTCTGACCTGAAGCAGTGTTCTTCTTTACTTCTTACCTATAAAACACATGGGATACAGCCTTTCTTCACTGATCACGTAATGCGTGATTTTCTATAAAGTCTTGGAAAAATAAAAGGAAAAATAGATAGAATACAGGTGTACTGTATGTGGTTTACACACAAATATTCATCAAACTGTGTGATAGTTTGTTATAGCAATGAACAATTTGAGAGTATCGTATTGTTTAAGTCGATGGAAATTCTCTGTTGATCCTGTTTTACAAGCAAACCAAAAAGATACAGTAAATCACCACTCTATGCGACATATTCTAACCAGAAAATTGTAATCGTATGATTCTATAAGCATTGGTAGGATTGCAAAGTACTACACAAACATCATTTCAAGGGTAATAACAGTCACAATTTCCACTGACTTTAAAAGAGTCAACTAAACTATTATACTAATGGACACACAACTAAATGGAACAACTAATGGAAATACTGACGATGTACATATAAACATTATACACATAATACAATTGACTGGGACGGGTGGCGTCGTCCTGTAATCCAGCTACTAGGAGGTCACGAATTGTGGATATTTATAGGGATGCACTGTGGATGCGATGCTCCCTGGTGTGGATTAACGTCCGCACTAGTGAGTACTACGACTATCCGCAGTACTATCCTGATAATTAGACCAATTCGTAAATTACAAGGAAAAATGTGGTTCGGATTCCACTATAAACTGTAGGTCCCTTAGTTGCCATTAGCTGTATGGGCTATTAATTAACAGCTGTGTCTAAGGAATATGTCGGCCTTAGTCACTAACAAGACTACAAGATCGCGCCACTCATCCTACACTCATCCTTCACTCATATTTGGGTTAAAATACGCACATAGTGGCGTCCCCATCTTAACTAATTGATAATTGATAATTGAAATGGAACAACTAATGGAAATTCTCACGATGTACATTCGTTCGATATAAGCATTGAGTATACACGTCAGTACATACGTGTATACCCAATGATATAAGCAACGGTTCTTGCAATTTATTGCTTATTGTTTTTTAGAGTTGTTTTCGGACTTACTCTGTTTTCGGACTTACTCACACTCGTATAAGGTTTTCCACGTTTGTCATTGATAATGTAGCCATGTTGCTTTGAAATGGCGACCATACAAATGTATGCATTTTAAGCCAAGTATGAATGGAGATGAGTGTGGGATGAGTGGAGCGATCTTGTTGTCCTGTTTGTGACTAAGGCCGACATAATCCTTAGACACAGCTGTTAATTAATAGTGCATACAGTCAATTAATAGCAGCAGAGGTCAAGTTTGGTATCAAATTAAAGGTTTTATTCATAAAAATACATTGCCGCAAACCCAAACTCAAACGATGATGATGATAATAACGTTAATGATGTCGCTAAAACGTATCGTTTGAAATTTAACAGCTGAAAATAAGTGAAATAGAAAAGGTTTTGGTTAAATCCATCAAATTGTAATTGGACACTAGTAAATACTAGTGCACTTGTTGCTACCTCCCCCCTTCGGTTTCATGTATTCCTCTCAATCAGTTTGAATCTAGGAGGATTAAACATTAATGTTACCTAATTAATGTTAAATCCTCCTAGATTCAAACCTGAAACACCCAGATCGAAACTCGCCTGTCGTTATTTTACCATCGCCTTTTTTTAAATATATTTTTCAAAAAAGAAAGATTATATTGATTTACTTTGGATTTTAAAAATGTTAACGTTTTATTTTGTTAAAGATTTATGGTGATACGTAAATATTGTGGTGTAGTAAAGTATATTATATTGTAGTTAAGTGTTAAATTTTGAAATTTTAGGGTGAATCGAGATGAATCTGTTTTTATAACATGGGTCTCTCCTAGCTTAACATACATACCAAGTTTCATAAACATCGGTTGGAAAAGTGCAAAGATAAATATTTGTATGTAAAAAATACAAAATGGTGGATATCTGGTTAACGAAACGATTTCGGAAAAAATGTTATCCTTGATTTTCTGTTTATTTTGACTCAAGGAATTACTAGGTAAAGTATCTCCCCGCTTATTTTTAACACCCTGTTTATGATGTATTCTTATAAGTGAAAAATGTAAGCTGGTAATACAGAAAAATGTTTTATAAATAATATGAATGTACTGGTGATCTGTATATTCATCTTTTTCTTGTTCTTAGAACTGTGAATTAAAAGTCCACTCAGCAGTCGCATCGTACGATGTAGTTCTTTCCATGCGTTGCGAAATGCTAAATTTGCCGTCCTCTTCAACCCAAGTTATCTATTGAACCACTGATTGTAAAAAATTCAAAAAAATTTATTTTACGCATCACACTTTTGGCTACAACTTTGCCACAGACAAAACCTCTCTAACCCAAAAAAAAAAAAAATCTCGCATGCTAACTTTTTCATGTTAGAAATCACGATTTAAAACTATTTCACCATACATATCAATTTTTATTAATTAGATCGGTAAATAGTTTAAAGTTCCAACAAAATAGTCATCGGGTAGGACTAACCAAGAAGCTCTGTGCCAATTTTCAAAATTTTAGCACAACTTTAAGTACACCAAAACGCGAAATTATTGAAGTCATGCGTCGAGAGGACTATCGTTGTTTTTAACAGATTATACTTTTGACCTTCCGGCACTGTTGACTCAGCGAAACTGAACTTATATTTTATCTTATTTCGTTATATTAAAACTGCTGTTGCGTTAGGTCAAATTCCCAATAAGTCAATTGCTTTCACATAGACCACGTTTTTAGCTCGGACTGTACTATTTGACTTACTGGGATTTTTGATCCACAGACACTGCAAACATTCTAGTTTTTGACCTAGCGGCACAGGTATAAATTATTTGACCTTCCGGGACTGTTGACTTTCTGCAACGCGTCCGTAAAAATTACGGTTTAAAAGTTATTGTAACTTTTGGGATTTTCCCATATAAAAACCCATAAATTAACATAACAATCAGACTTTTGTAAAAAAAAGCTTGACTCATTTTGATTAAGGGTTAGTATGTTATGGTCCTTATTATACTAAACAGAATGGTACAACCCCTATTGCTGTAAAAATTACAGGTCAAAATTTATTGGACTTATGTTCATGATATCAAGGGTTGTTGGCAAGCTAATGGGAGAAAGTATGTGTACTGATGCCGTTTATTTCTAGATAGATGGACACAAAACTAAAGTTTGGTTTCAAACCCGTTATGCCATTATCACACAGCTAAAAGATATTATTAGTGATACTGTAATGAGATTTGAAACCAGAGATTTTCTGAAGAGAAGTTTGTCACTTCTACCATTAGAATACTAGGTAAAAATATTATATCAACTTGAACAACTCCGTTCAGTTTCATGTTGTGCAACATGAACTGTCAGAACGTTCTTTCCTCCTACCTGTCTGTCAATTCTTTCAATGATCATATAAATATTGTAAAACTATCTCTTGCCACGAAAAATTGTTACAAACAGAGATTTACAAATATCTACTGCTTTATTCACACTAAAGATAATGGAGACCTACAAAATAGACACTAAAACCATGATTTTAGCTTAATAAATTACTATACTGATCTATACCAACTATACTAAGTAACAACAAAAAAACTAATTGGTCTATTCTGCAAGGGAATATTCCTCCATAGAGATCTTATTTAAAACAGGTCACTCGATACCTTAAAATACATAAATAATTTCATATACAACAAATCATCGAAGCTCACCTGAATGTCTTTGATGGTAAGGAACTCGCCGGGTTTGTCTAGAGAGTAGAAGCCAACCATCTCCATCATCTGCCGGACAATCTCATTGGTCACCTGGTCCCCCCATTCGTTCACCACTGGCATGTTGATGTCGTCAATGAACACCGTCATCTTACGGTTGTTGGGAGGGCCATAAGTGGAGCCCACTCGCTTCTCTACGTAGCTCTCAACAATCCTCTGGAAAAAGGGTGAAAATTTTTTATTTTTTACATTTTTGTAAGAGAAGTTGTAAAATTCGATTTTACAAACACACTTTACTAATAGTTACTCAGGACCATGAATGAGAGGAGTTTCTCATCCAAGAGAACATGCTATGACTTCAGTATTTCACTGACTGGTTTCCTTTTTAACAAATTCGTTCACATAAAAATCTCTTGTTCTTGTTTGCTACTTTAAAAGTAGGCTTACTAAAAACTACAATAATACAATATGTTTATTTAGTAAATTTGTTTTTGAGCCCTCTGAATGTTCCTAAATGTTTTGAACGTCTATGTTTGTGTGAAACATATGTTTATTATCCTTGTAGAGAGAATACCTGAAACATGTTTGGAGTTGTAGCAGAGGAAAAGTTGAGACTTTTACTGAGTTGAACTTCCGGGTCATATCCAGCCATGTAACTCTTTATCATAACAGTTTTCGCTGTCCCTTGTTCACCTAGACACAAAATGTTTGTATAGTTTTTCTGTAAAAGTTAAACAATCAGTGATTTTTAAAGGAGTTAAACCACATGATCTTTGTCATGCAGTAATGTTGTAATAATCTATTGTAGCAATAAGCTGCAGAGATTTATTGTTATAGCATTTTAGAAACTGTAGTTAGCACGCCACTTATTTATCTTTTACTTGAAAAATTTAATGTGTAATTGTGTTTTTTATTAAACATTTATTTGCTGTATATTGACTTTGGAGGAAATATGTTAACATGCCTATACAAAAATAAAGCAAGAAGACGCAAGAAAATTATCTAACTACTAATGAACTTATGCATGAAACATACACAACTATCAACGCACATCAACTAACAAAGCTCACAAAAGCCAACTAAAAAAATTACAAACACTAGAGAAAATAATTGTGTAAAAATACCAATCAGAAGAACAGCTTTGCACTGCTTGGCGATCGTGTGTATGAGGAACGCCGTACGCACATTGTCTACATTAGGCACAAGTATACTCGAGTACTCCGGTACTGAGTCTGGCGGATAAACGTATTCCTCCACTCGCTCCGACCAATGCTGCCAATCTCCTGTCTCGGCAACAACATACTCGAATATCGTCTCTCCTTCTTTCAACTTGGGCCACTTCAGTTTGGACGGATGTTGCAAAATGAATTCTTCCATTTTCATACGTTCATCATTCTCCAAAACACTGCCGAGACTCCACATGAGCGTAAACAGGAAGAGTCTTTCCAAGTGGAGATCGGAGAAGGTTTTGTGTTCGTCTTCGCTAAGTAGCAGTCCAGTCAAAAGGTCCGTGGCTTGTCTGATGTAGAGAGCTTCGAGGATTTTCATCTTGGCGACCAGCTTGGTCTGTACGAATGTGTGAAGGTCTCCGTAGATTTTGTGGAAGAGCTGGCGTAGTACGTCGGCTTCTCTTTGTGATCGCAGTTTCAGCCAGCCGTCCAGTACAGGCTGCCAACTCAGTACGGAGGCAGACATAAACACCATACCCATGCGGCTGACTGTGGCAGGCGAGGCATTGTCCAGGTTATCAGGCTCAAAGACCAGTTTACTGTTTGGAGCCATCACTATACGATCTCCGTTGGCCAGAGTCAGTGTCTTGTTGTCGTCCAATACAGAGTTGAGGTTTTCAATCCACACAGCGTCAACTGGGCCATCCAGTACTATCCAGACGTATTCACTCTGTTTGATCTGGAAATGTAATTGCAGTTAGAGAGTCTGAAGATGGTTTCCTAAAATTAATGTATACAAGAATAATAACTGAGATTTGGGTATCGTATGGATCAGGTGAAATCAAACATTTAAGAACATTTAACAAAATTAAGCCTCTTGCTATTTTGATAAGTGGTTTGCAAACTGTAGTATTGTGTCATTTCAGAGTTCACAAAAAATCACTGTTAAATCAAACATTAAAACTTATTTGAAATATAAGTAGCACCTCTTATGGCATAGTACAATATGATTGGATGGACATTACTTTATGTGATCGCATACAAATAAGTACCTTGTGTGAACGACGCCATAAAGTAGAAAATATCCCGTCAGTCCAATCATTGGTGGCGGCATCCAACCTCCCAAACATCTGTGGAGCTGTGATTGCCTACAAATAAAAAATATCATCAAACACATCCTTTGACAAAATACAAACTTGCACAGAGTACTGTACAAACAAACAAAACATTTAACACTGTTAAAAACTCATGGGATACTCAAAGCATGATTTCAGTTCAGAACGAGGCAAGACTTTTTTCTCACTATGTAAAATCCAATACACCTCAGTTATTTTAATTACTGTAACAGCTTTTGAGAGCTAAAAATATTGTATACACAATTAATACAGTACAACCCTGCTAGTCTGGCATTGGTCCAAAAATCTAAACAAATATGGTATGCTGTTATTTTTTTGGCAGATGTCGGGCACGATCGGCAGATGTTGTTAGCAATAAACAGATGTTGGGTGTAATTGGCAGACGTGGGGTAGTAGGGTAGAATCGGATAACATAGAGTGTCCTTTCATCATGACATAGACCAATGATAGGGAGACGTCGGGAACGATTGGCATGCTTCTGAAAAGATTTCAAAGTGGAAATCCTGCCTGAAGATCGGGAAATATTTCATCCTCAGAAACAGATTTTTTAAGTTCTTGATCAACTCTAATTATCCTGTTTGAATTCAAGCTAAGTAAATATTCCTGGATGAACCACGTCAAAGAATATTTACACTACAATCAAATTTAAACCCAATTAATTATCGTTAAAGTGTGCTTTCAGCATTCGTGTTACAATAAAAACATTCAGGACCAACCTTAGGGTTCATCCTCATCTCCTTGTGAGGACGACCACACTCTGTCAAGGCTCTCATCAACACCTCAATACACTTAGTCTTGCCAGCGCCTGTCGGACCCAGGGTCATCAGACCATGTCTCACCAAGGAGGTCTCATACAACTGTAACACAACAAGTAACAGTCATAATAAAACACTACATAGCTGGGTGTAATTGAGAATACAAAAAAGTCTCATACAACTGTTGTAGCAAAAGTAACTAAGACTGGTGCTGTGCTATGACAATACTACATAGTTCGGAATAGTTGTGAAAATTTAGTTTATTGTTCATCCATAGGTCTAGATATAAATTAATTACTCATAAAACCCTCAATATCTTGTTTTACCTGAATGATTTTAAGGTTCCACGGTGGATGGTTGACGAGGTTCTTCTCATTGCATGCACTAGCTATTCCCTTCTGAAGGTCTTTGTACACGCTGGTCGTCAACTTCAGTCCAACAAACAAGTCTTCAATGAGAGACAGGAACAGCGGCTCGTCCTCATCTACCAGCTTGGATACGTTCATGTCTCTACCATGGGCAAAACAAGTTAGTTTGACCGTATATAGAATGTCAAAAAGATTTTTGCTACATAGAACTACATTCCAAAAAGCTCAATAAGTCTGAACTTACCAGTAACATTTTTTCCATTTTCGGCTTAGTTTTAAGCTGTGTTTTTAGCCATTACGAGATTTTTCAAACATAACCAAACCAAAATCTCTTTGTTGATATTTATGGAACTTGGTATGAGTTAAACCTAATTGAATCACCTACCTCAACACTCTCATGACTGTGGTGTCCTCTGTATCACTTGGGTTTGCTCTCTTCTGAGCTCCCAGAGTCCTCAGTACAGACAAGATGTTGCGAAGGCCGAAGTCGTAATGTCGCTGTTTGCTGAGTTGTTCCTCGCACAGCTTGTAAAGCACAAAGAACTTCCTGGCCAACGGAACGTTGTCTTTGAACCCGCACGACGCCAGTTTCACTCTCATTATGATCTAAGTAATGCAAGAGTATGTTAGGGATGTGTGGAAGGACAAAATGTGGATAAGTATTTTACCCACGCCAATTTTTAAAACTAGCCTTTTAAATTCCAGTTCCTAGGATTGAAAAGTGCCACTTTACCGCATTGTTATTTCACTTTACAGCACTAGTGTGGTAAAGTAATGGACCAATGAGGTCCAAACTTCCAATAATCTAATGTAATATCTCTAACCTGTCTGTCTGGCACCATCATAGCCACGCTGCGGAACATGATCTTAAGATTCTCCGGAAGTTCTTGACGACCTGCGTACCCTGGGTTCATGGTGATGAACAACCCAAACTCTGGGTTCAACGTCACAGTGTCCCCATCACTGAAACATCAACAATTACCCTGTAAAAAAGTGTATTATATGATAGCTTCTAAATATTCGACTATATTTTTTAATTGGAGAGATTTTGGTAATTCAACAAATATGAAACTCAAACCCTGTCGGATATAAGTGGTTAGATTAAAGAAGCATTGCACAAAAATTAATGTTAAATTAACGCTTAGAAAACGGAGAAATCAGATAAAACTTCATGGATGATTAAACGAAAATTTTAACTGAAAATATACACATAATTACTACAAATACAAAATCCCAATTTGAATTATCACAACAGAAAGTTTGTTCAAAATTAAACAACGTAACAACGCAATGTAAGCAAATAGTTCAATTCAAGTTTTTGTCTGTACTCACAGGTATCTAATTGCAAAATAACAGAGACATTTTTATAAATTCTAAAAACCTCTCAGCGGTACAAGACACTGCACACAACATACCTGAACAAGAACGTGGTTTTTCGTTCTTTCCGAGCAGTCAACACGATGTGTATCTGCTGAGCTGCTACTGACAACACAGGCAGCTCTATGCGGTTGAACTCATCAAAACATCCCCACGAACCTGACTGTGCCAACCCTTTGTAGATACGGCCGAGACCTGGACATAACCCATCAGTGTCACTTATGTTTCTTAGCTATTACTGTTTGTCCAAAAATAAACTGTATAGAAGAATCTTGTGTTTTAAAAGTCTTGAGAAACTCATTGCATACGTTTAGTCTATTGTGTTGCGAGATAATTGCAGACATTTTACATCACATCCAGATCACAAAATGGTGTGAATATTTTTTTTGTTTTAACAATTTTTTATATTTAATATATTTTAATGTTTTACCAAACCCTCAATGATATGAACTTACCATTAACTTACCATATAAATCAAACAAGGAATCCTTTATTCTGGGATGCATACAATATGTTTGAAGTTTCGGCTCTTTTAGAAAATAATACAAGATGAATTTACAGTTTAAATATTGCGTGTTTGTTTACCGTTGAAGGCTTTTTTTCAATATCCTCCCTTCTCGTACCAAGAAACCAGGCTCTAGCTTCAAACTGTTTTACTCATTTCAAAGCCTATGTCTAAAGGGTTTATTATACATAACTAAAGCTATTGGTAATTGCCAATTGGTGGGGTTTAAAACATGGACCTCCCTAAACAATTAAAGCTAGAACTTCAATAGAAGGTATTTAAATAAACTTCACCATAAAAATCAACCATCCCTATACATATTTAATCAAACTTATCTACTTATTTACCATCAATTTTTTTAATAGTAAAATGATTCTTATAACTATTTCTCTCACCCCTAAAGTCCATCTGGTCAGAGCAGTTGAAGACAACCACATATTTGCCAAGAGATTTGCCCATGTCTTTGGTAGTCTCGGTCTTCCCAGTACCAGCTGGACCTGCAGGGGCGCCTCCCATGGACATGCCTGTCGAAAAAAAATATCAAACACTCTGTCACGGATCATAATTTAATGATAACACAAAATAGTTGTTCATTCAGCCATTTACATTAGTACAATATCTTAATTGGGTAGCTGGGTGCCTGTCAATCAGAGGATCAGGGGCGTACCCAGGGGGTCCCAGGCTTTGAAAACATGCATTTTATTTTTGACCCCCCCCCCCCCCCAAAAGGATGTGATCCCCCACCAGTCAGATGGCCCCTGTCCAAACTCTAACCCTGGATACGCCCCTGCAGAAGGTTGTTTAATTGATCTCAAGAAAAGTCACCATCTTTTGATGGTTCCAAACTGGAACCAGATGACATTATTCATTGGATATTTAATGAATATTTCTGGATAAAGATAACAACTGGTTTTAGTCGGAAAGAAAGCTACACAAGCTAAAAAAAATTAAATACATTGAAAACTCATCCACTTTCAAAATGATTTTAGAATTTAGTTGCTTGGATTTATATTTTTCATCGAACAGTCAAACAGTAACAAACCTGATCATGCATTCTTCATACCGTTGGATTCCTGAAGGGGGTATACCACCCAGATCTCAAAGCTCAAAGCCCATTATTACAATATTTGTATATTGTTGAAGCAATAAAGAATTTGTCTATTGTCTATTGTCTATTATTAATTTTCAACTACTACCCCAAAACCTTATACAATTAATTATTATATTACATACAATTCATCTCATTAAATATTGTCTAATTTCTAAGTACTGTAAATGTAAACTTCCCAAAGTAATTAGTGCTGAAGCTATGATATTACCTATTGCTTGAGCAAGGGTTATGTAGCATCTGTCTGTTAGTGGAGTGATCACTAAACGTTCCGTACAACCCATGAACTCGTTCTGGTACGTAAACACGACATCGGTGATGTGGACGATGCATTCGTCTGTTTCCTCATTGAAATAAAATCTTTCTTGCTTCAGCCATTCAAAGTCATCTTTAGATCGAATCTTCATTCGGTACAGATCATCAAATATGTCTCTAAAAAAGTATGGAGTATGAAATGAAAGTATGAAATGTTTGAATGTTGAAATGGTGTTTAAAAATAATGCAGTTCTGTTTATGATTTATGAATGTGTTATGTTATTTTTATTGATCACAGCTAAAATCAGTGTTTGAATTTTCAGCTTTGTAAACATTTTTGAAATTAAGTACAGTTACAGTATAAACAATATAGGAGATGTAAATGTAGATGTACAAACCTAATACTTATAAATTTAAATGACTGTGTTAAAACGTCTGTATTTCAAGTTTAACAACCTTTAGCTATTAATAAACCAATCGTATATAATCTATCACACGTGTATTTTGCAGTAAAGTTTTCTCCTCCAGAATAGATTCGTCAGATCTCTAACAATTTTGCACATTAAATAAAGTACAACTTTACTGTAATCTTTAACATATAACTTGACGATAAATAGTATTAAAGTTATATGAGGGTTAAAGTTATATACCTCTGATGCACATGGATTGTGACCAAAGTTTCATATTTTACTCTTTCAAACTTGGCCAAGTCCAAAGCGGTCTGATCAATCAGCTGATTTAGAAGAAGCAGCCAGTTATCATTGGTCTTCCTCATCAGTGACTTGTCATATTTGCAATTCTGCAGAGCAAACTCTGAATCTCTTGTCCATAACATTTGAAGCCCCAACAGTCCGACCTACAAATACAAGTTAATCACACTCAAAATGTAGAAATAAAACTATCAAATTTGCCACATCTTGCTACCATTCAATTGAGCTCTGAAGCTTCCCATCTACTTGTCTTGAAACTTTGAAACAACTTGAAACTTTGTCTGCTGAACCTTATAAACAATAAATTTGAGTGCACTTTTCCAAAACTGATTGGCTGACAGTCTAGATGTTGTATAAACCACAAAAATATTCAGCTAACTTCAGCTAATATCAAGCCAAAACAGTGCATTATAGTTTCCTGTCGCCACAGTCATAAATTACTTCACTGTCTGACTTTGGTACCAGTGGTGTAGTCATATATAATAATATCTGCCCTCCCCCCCCCCCACCAGAGTCAGAACTCAAAAACTAAAAAATATTCCTACATAGTGAACACCAAATTAGAATCATAAACTTAAAATAAGTTTAAGAGTGTAGGGGTGGTTTAATTGTATTTTGAACTAAAAAATATGCATACTTGTTTTCATTTTGACTCACCTGCGCAGGATACCTTGACACCATATCCAGTACTGTAAACTCTGGCTCTTGCATGTATGCATACACATTGGCAATCACAGTCTGCAATGATAGCTTAGCTTGAGCTAGCAGATTACCCAGCCAATTCTCGACACCTCCATGGCACCAAACTTCCTTTTCCAACTGAATTTTCTCCTTTTCCCGCGAAATTATAGATATTATTTTATCGTATTCTTTCTCATCAAACTCCACTCTGTAAACGTTCTCAAAAACTCCTTCTAAATACGCTTGGATCGTGTGGGAGTCCGAAGCCTGCCCCAGGATTTCCAGCAGGGCCGGATCAGAAATAAAGAAGAACCGTGGAAATATCAACCTCTTCTGCTCTAGATAGCCAGTAAGGGACTTCTGACATGTTTCTAGCTGCTCTCTCAAATGGGGGAGAAGTTGTCCCATCATTTCGTCCCCGACACACACCTCGATCACATTTGCAATCTGTCTGGCCCGGGTCATGATGCGGACCCAAGATTTGTCGATGCTTGCGAACCTTTTCGCTTCGCCAGGCAATTCCTTGGCAATATCACCACCGACAAACACCGCTTCCAAATACACCCAGAGATTCTGCACGACAAGCCATGTTTCCAAAATTTCCGCTGTCGTACCCAGCTTCCAAACCCACAGCTGAATTTCTTTCTTGAAAGGAGCGTTGTATCTGTTTGCTGCCAGTGAGTTCATGACCATAAGACTTTCCTCAATGAGACTGTTGATTTCTTGGGTTTCTGTTCCCTTTAGTAATAGTTCACCTCGTGTTTTGAAAGTAGAGAACTGCAATATTACACTTTCCCAGTTTGCTATTACTTCTTTCAGTTTGGCTTCAATGTCTCTCTCCTTTAGGGCACTGAGACAAATGTCCTGGAAATTGGATAATTATTAGGCTTTGAGTATAAATTAGTCATTAAGCTACAAAGAAAAGATAACAACACAAAATCTGTATGATCATAGAAGGAGGAATTTTTGTAATAATCATGCTGATAGTGGCATAGTAGTCAAAATTCACATTTAGGCCTACTTGAATCATCTCCCCCTAAATACAGATGGTGCCTAAATCAATGCAGGATTAGTTCACTTAAGTACACAAAGATGAAAAAAATCGCAAAGAAATCTACATAGAGAACTGTATAGTATAGTCATCTGATATAAATACAGGGTGAGCAAACACAATGCAAACTAAGTGAGACTGTAATAGATGTATACTTTAGTTCACTTAAGTATGTATGTATAGATAATGATAACTAAAAAAAAGAGTCCAGTTACAAACAGTGACACTAACCTCAACATCATCTTTGTACTTGAGCAGTGGAGCGTCCATGACCATTTTCAACGTAAACTCATCATTCTCCACATCAAACACGACTCCCAGCAGTTTCTCAAGTCTCAGCCAATGTCTTTCCTTCATTGACTTGTTAGCCATCATCTCTAGTAGAGGGCAGCACTCGTTGAAGTCATCTATTTTCTTTTTCAGCTCTATAAACGCCGGCCAATCCTTGAGTCCTTTAGGCAGCTTGCGGCACCTAAAGTGAGCACTCATATTATATGAAGTGTTATAATAATTCTGTACGTTAATTCAGAGGTTGTTTATAAATTGAGATAAAGATGATGAACTGTAACCTCCTGGGAACAATGAACCCTCGTCGCAATTTAATTACACTGTGTTATAGCACTATCACAAAAATTATGATTATAATAATACACAACATCAGTATTTTTCTACTGATGGTTTCTGCCTAAAATAAAGCATAGAGGTATTTTAAGTTTCCAATCAGTACTTGACCAGAACAAAATGTAAATAATTATACTATTTCTGAATGTTTTACATCATAAGGTATAGTTTTCTGTAGGATTTGCATTCAATTGTATAAAATCCTCCCAACAAATACAACTAAAATCTGACCCAATAAAATCCCTACCTGTTCTGGAAGTCTGTCAACTCTGACATGATCTCCTCAATGTTGACGTCTTGCCAGGCCAGTTCAAAGTAACCGTCAATCGCCTTGTTCACAATCAGATAAAGCCCGTACAGTTTCTGTAGCAGGTTGAATTGTTTCTTCCGCTCGATGAGCACAGGGTAGTCGTGTACAGGCATGCCAAACAACTTCTCTCCACTACTCAACACCTCATAGTTCCGCCAAAGCTCGTCGAATCGGCCTTGGAACAGCAACACCCTGCAGAAATAATCAGAAATGTTGACTGAAATCTAACAAAGCTAATTAAACATACTCATTTATACATTTATCATATTTTGTTCTATTTCTTATTTAGATTAAAATTAAAAGATCAAAAGAAACTAAACTGTTTTAATCAAGACACTAATACAAGACAATATTATTAAAGAAAAAAAAATAAAATCATATGGTTAAATATTAATTAAATAACCTTAGAGGTTAAACATCTTTCCCTTTGAGTTTCTTTTCAGGGTTTAGTCAGGAAAACGTTTCGTAGGTCTTATAATTCTGCCTCTTGATGATTGTTTTATTGCAGCTTCTTGATTGGGAGTAGTTGATCGTGAAAAAGGTTTACTTTTATCTTGAGTTATTCTAGATGGTGTAGTAGTTGTTCTTTCAGCAGTATTTGATAGGGAAGAGTTGTTTTGAGTAACAGTAGTAAATGGCAGAGGATCTGACGTTGTATCTTTGATGGATAAAGGAATAGGATTGTTCGGTTTGGTTGTATTACCTTTGTAAGGCAAAAGGTGGTGTCGATTCCTTCTCAACGTAGTGTTTCCTGTCTTAACCCAGTATGACCTTGGCTCTTGTCCTAAGCTGATAATAATACCCTCTCTTTTTAGGTCTTGGATCCATACTTTTTTACCTACAGGCAGCGATGGAAGTTCTTTTGTAGCGTAGCGCCTATCGTAGTTTCTCTTGTAAGATGCTCTGTAAGTATCTTCTTTTTCCTTTAGTTGAGAGAGATCGGGTTTGATTTCAAGTTTTTTAGGTAAAACAGGCAGGTTATCTCGCAGTGATCTGTTGTATATTAGCTGAGCAGGACTGTATCCACTTGTGGATAGAGGTGTATTGCGGTAGGTTAGGAGGGCTAAATATGGGTCGTCTTTGTTTTTCTTTAGTACACTCTTCGCTATTTTGACTGCAGCTTCAGCTGCACCGTTACTTTGGTGGTAGCTTGGACTGCTCGTCACAAGTTTAAAGTTATAGCTTTGAGCAAACTTTTTGAATTCAGAGTTTTCAAGACCAGTGTAGCAAACTGTGTACCACAATCAGATCGTAGCTCAATTGGTATACCGTGACGGCAGAATACAGATTTGCATTTTTTGATTATTTCAGCAGTTGACAGGTTCTTTAATGTAGCTATTTCAAAATAACGTGAAAAACAGTCAGTGATTACTACGAACCATGTTCCTTCAAGTTTAAAGAGATCAATCGCTGCCTTTTCCCAAGGACGAGATGGAAGCTCACTGGGCAAAAGGGGTTCATGATGTTGTGTTCTATGTTCAGTACATTTGGGACAATCATTAACAAATTTCTCAATGTCAAGTGACATTCTTGGCCACCACATACTATTGTTGGCTCTAAGTCGACATTTCGTTATGCCTAGATGGCCTGTATGTATTCTTGTCAAAATTTCTTGTCTAAGAGTTGTCGGGATTATGAGACGTTCTCCTCTAAGCAATAGTCCGTCACAAAAAGAGATTTCATCCCGAACTGTGAAGTATGGCTTAAAATTATCGGGAATCTTAGTTTTATCAGGCCATTCAGTTGAGCAGTAAGATTTAATTACCCTGAGTTCTGAGCTAGCCCGCTGTGCCGATGCAATTCTATCAAGAACCATGTCAGTTACATAGGCAATGTTTCTTGTTACTGTGTGGATGGCCAGTTCAACTTCCTCATCTAAATCATAACTCTCATTAGCTGCTACAGGACTTCTTGAGAGACAATCAGCAGTGGCTAAATGTTTGCCAGGAGTGTATGTCACATTGTAGGAATATCTCATCAGACGAAGTCTTAGTCTTTGAAGACGGGGAGTCATATCATTGATCTCTTTAGTAGTCAAAATACTTACCAAAGGTTTGTGATCTGTTTCTAGCGTGATGTGCTTGCCCACAATGTAGTCTTTAAACTTGTCACAGCTCCATGTTAATGATAGAGCTTCTCGTTCAATGTTAGAGTAGTTTCGTTCGGTTTCGCTCAGAGTGCGTGAAATATAAGAAATAGGCTTCCAATTCCCATCTGATTGTTGTTGTAAAAGTACTCCACCCAGGCCTTGTGTAGAAGAGTCAGCAGAAATCATAGTCGGTTTATTTTTATCATAGAATGCAAGTTGAGGTGGAGAAGCCAATAATTCTTTCAATTCATCGAATGCTTTTTGTTGTTCACAACCCCAACACCATTCGTTTTTTCTACTTAGTAGGTCGGTAATGGGTTTTTGTAACCGCCTTTTGTTAGGTATGTATTTGCCAATGAAGTTCACCATACCAAGTAACCTTTGAACTCCTAAAATATCTGTTGGAGGAGCCATTTTTCGTATAGCTTCGACTTTGGTCTCATCGACTTTGATTCCTGATTCAGATAAATGGTGACCTAAGTAGGTTAGCGAGGTTTGAGAGAACAAGCATTTGTCTTTGTTTAGGGTGAAGCCAGCACCTTCAAGTTTGGTAAGTACTTCTCCTAAGAAATAGTCATGTTCTTGTTGAGTTTTCCCCCAAACAATTATGTCCTCCATATGCGCAAGTGCATTCATTTGACCTTTAAGGGTTCGATTCACGCATTCTTGGAACACTTCTGGTGCAGATGTTATTCCAAAGGGTAGTTTCAGAAATTTAAAACGTCCAAACGGTGTCAGGAACGTTGTCAAATCTTGGGATTCTTCGTCCAATGTGATCTGCCAGAATCCGTTATTAGCATCCAATTTAGAATAGCATTTTGCTTCTGAGATTTGGGCAAGTGTTATGTCGATGGGTTGAATAGGATAGTATCTTCGTTTGACGCATCTGTTTAATTTAGTAAGATCTACACAAATGCGAACTTTGTTAGAGTCCTTCTTTGGCACAACAACCATTGGAGAGCACCAGTCTGTGGCATGGTGTACCTCAGCGATCACCCCCATTGACACCATTCTTTCAAGCTCTTCTTTAGTAGATTCCCAAAGAGGAAGAGGAATCCGACGAGGCGTGTTGATTGCAAATGGATTGGCGTTATTTTTCAGTTCTACTTTGTATTTGACATCAATGGAACCTAAGCCTTCAAACAGTTTGGGGTGTCTGTCATACCAGTCATTACTGGATGGCTGTATTTCGTTGATTCGAGCAAGTAACTGCAAACTTGTAATTGCAGGTTTACCTAGAAGTGGCTGGGAAGTGCCCTTAGAACATATATAGTGAAAAGAACATATATAGTCTCATAACATGTTTTGTGATTATGTGATAATTTTACAGTAGCAGTTCCTAAAATTGACAGAGCTTGACCATTTGCGCCACTAAATGTTTTGGATGTGGGAGTGAGCCTGATTTTCTTATTCAGTTTAATGTCGGAAGGCAAAATCGTTACGTCTGCTCCTGTATCAATTTTGAAAAGAACATCATCACTGTCATTCATATTTAACACTACGGACCATGGATAATCACGCAAGTTTTTTCCTACAATGCCAATGAATGTTGGAGGGTCTATGTACTGAGAGCAAACATTTTCAATGGGTGTTTCAAGGTCAGTATCATCATATTCAATTTGACTGACTTTGTTTGATTTGCAAACATTTGGAAAATGACCAACTTTTTTACAAAACCCACATTTGTATTGTTTAGCTGGACAGTTGAATCTTTTGTGTAAAATTGTCGAACCACACCAAAAACATCTCTTTTCGACATGGGACAGGCTTTTATTGTCATTAATCCGCTTAAAATTTTGATCATTGTTTGATTTATTGGGAATAATGTTTGTCTTAATTAAATGTTGAGTATTTTTATTTATTAATGCTATGTCAGTCAAGTTAAGAGTTTGTTTCTGTCTTGATAGTTCTTCAGATCTACGGATAGTGTTTATAGCTGTGTTTAGTTTTAATTCGGGTTCAAGTTGAAGACGATCACTTAGTGTTTCGTCCCGCATACCAATAATCAAAACCATCAGAATCATCTCCTCTTCAATCTGACCCCAATCACAGTTTTTTGCATGATTGTGAAGGTCTGTGATAAAGTTCTCAATCGGCATGGAACCTTGTGTAAGTTTTAGAAACCTAGCCCGTTCAAAAATTAAGTTCTTTTTAGGAAGGAAATGATCGTCAAACTTCTGTATAACAGCTTTGAAATTAGATTTGTCATTGTCATTTAAACTGAATGAATTAAGTATGTCCTCTCCCTTTTCCCCCATACAGTAGATAAGCATGTCAATCCGATGCTTTCCAGAATGTAGAGCTAAATTACTAAGGGAATAATACCTCTCAAAACGAGTCTTCCATGTCTTCCAGTCATGAGGGTTGAAGGAAAAGGCTTCAGGAGGCTTAATGTTTAGGGATACGGGTTCTTCATTCGACTGCGCCATGTTCTATTTCTTATTTAGATTAAAATTAAAAGATCAAAAGAAACTAAACTGTTTTAATCAAGACACTAATACAAGACAATATTATTAAAGAAAAAAAATTAAATCATATGGTTAAATATTAATTAAATAACCATAGAGGTTAAACATATTTATATTAGCTGAAAACGATTTTAATATTACCGTTATAGCTACGTGTGTTTATATTCTTTAAACTTTGTTTATTGTTATAAGCCCAACTTTAAACTAATTTGTATGAAAAATAACAATCTATTAGTAAACTGTTGCTTATACTCCATATTACAACCAAAAAGTACCAGATTGTAAAATCTATTATTAGTCCAGGAGCTGAGGGGGGTTGAGCATGCATGAAAGTAGTACGCAATGTTATTGCTGATTATTGTAATATGGACTGTGGTGATCAAAATTACGTATGTCGCCTATTTCAAAAGTGGTCGATAAGGTGGGGGGGAGGGGGCAAACATGGCGGTTTGCGCTATGCGTTAAAACGCTGATAGTTCGAAAACGGTAAAAGATAGAACATCGGTTAAAACGTCGTTGTAATCCTAAAAATGTGGACAACAATAATGGACATTGGGTCCGAGGTCGTATCTCTATAAATAAACAAGTTATTGTATAAAATATGTAAAAATGGACTTTTCGTGTAGATTTTTTACCGAAAGTAGAATTAATTTGTGAGTGTTGCAAAGAAGTAATATCAAATATCTTTGCTGATAGTTGTAATATGGACTGTGGTGATACAAAATACGCATGTCGCCTACTTTTCAGGTGGTCGAGAACTTGGGGGGAGGGGGGCAAAAATGGCGGAACGCGCTATACATCGAAATGACTGTAGCTCGAGAACGGTACGAGATAGGACATCGGTTAAAACGTAGTTTTAATCCAAAAAATATTACCAATAGAAAAGGTCATTGGGTAAAAAGTCGTATCTTAACTAATAAAAAAGCTATAACAATAATAAGTTTAACAAAATCTACATCGTACAGCTATTTTTTTCGTAAATCGTAAAAAAGAGAGAAATATTAAAGCGACATCAGCATACTCAAAAATTACCAACATGACAGACATAAAAACAGGCCTTTGATTTTACAATATTATGAGAAGTATGTGCACAATACAAAGTTAGGGTTAAACACTCCATCTATATACAGGTTGTTTTTTTGAAAACTTGCATCTTTATTTATGTAAAAACCGCAATAGATAGAAATATGCAGTTGGCGGGAATCATCTATTGACGTAGCGGGCACAATTTTTTTGAATTCAACGTTACATTCACATTCCCCCCCTTTCCCCCCTGCCGCCAACTTATTTTTTTTTTAAATAGCAAGGTACCCCTTGTGACATATCAAATAAAAGAGCATAAAAAAAGAAAATGTTTGATGAAAAGAAATTGAAAATCGTTTCATAAATTTGTGAGATATTCCCCCCCTCCCCCCCGGAACTTAATTTTTTTTTTAAGCAAGGTACCCCTTGTGACATATCAAATGAAAGAGCATGAAAAAAGAAAATTTTTGGTGAAAAAAATTTAAAATCGGCTCATGAATTTGTGAGATAATCCCCCCCATTTCCCCTACCCGTAACTTGTTTTTTAATAGCAAGGTACCCGCCCTTGTGACATATCAAATGAAAAATAAATTTCACCAAACATTTTCTTTTTTCATGCTCTTTCATTTGATATATCACAAGGGGTACCTTGCTATTAAAAAAAAATTAAGTTCCGGGGAAGGGGGGGGGAAATATCTCGCAAATTTATGAACCGATTTTCAATTTTTTTTCATCAAACATTTTCTTTTCTCATGGTTTTTCATTTGATATGTCACAAGGGGTACCTTGCTATTTAAAAAAATTAAGTTGGTGGCAGGGGGGGAAAGGGGGGGAATGTGAATGTAACGTTGAATTCAAAACAATTGGGCCCCCTACGTCAATAGATGATTCCCGCAAACTGCATATGTCTATCTATTGCGGTTTTTACATAAATAAAGATGCAAGTTTTTTAAAAAACACCCTGTATCTAAAATCCAATGTATGTATGTTTGTTTGTCCTTTATGGACTCCGAAATTGCTCGACAGATTGTAATGAAACTTTCAGGCATTATTAAGCATTATTCAAGGATGGTTTGTGTGAAGTTTGGTGCAGATCTGTCAAAAGGGCTCCACCCCAGTGGCTCTGGAGTTTCCCATGTTAACCTTTGAGTACTCATATTTAAATTGAATAAAAAAATCTCAACAGCTGGATCAACTAAACAATTTGATTCTTTGATGTTCAATAGCATTAAAAAGTTAATAGGCTTACCAACAGGGTGCATCACTATTATTTTTTTTTATTTATGACAACAGGTAATTTGCAACCAAAAGGTGAGTTAGCGTAGCGAACGAGCTGACTAGAAGGCAAGTGAGCGCAGCGAACAAGCTCCAACCTAAAGGTGAGTGAGTGTAGCGAACGAATTTCAACCAGCACAAGATTGAGCCATGCGAACGAGCTCATCTTGAAAATGAACGAGCATTTGACATAAAACCACATTAGGACAGGACAACGTCTGTCGGGCCAGCTAGTTTGTACAATAAATCAATAATTCAACCATGAAAAATTCAACCAATGAATCATACTTTCGTAAATGGACACATTTTCAGGTCAGAATGTCTGAAAGTATTGCTTTAAATAATCTCTTATTGTGGACTATGCCAGAAGTTGTAAATCAAATAACACAGGACACCACAAATACAATTAAAACCTAACATTAAATACAATTCAGATAATAACTATTAACTAGACAACTGATACAGCATCGGTTATTTCTTGTTGAATTTATAACTTCTGACATACTCCACTGTGAGGGAATTTAACTATCTAGACATTCTGACCTGAATAATCATATAACAAATTGTTCCAACATTAACTCCAGTAGTCTAAAGCTTGGTTTGTCAATTCTTATGTTAATCCATCATGTAATTAAGGCATATAAAAAGGGTTAGGTTTTTAAAAATTGTGATTTATATTTTTACGTCATTATCTCACCTGTCGCTGGCCTCTTTCGCCTCAAGACCGTCCACCATGGGTCCGTCAGTCTCAAAGTCAATGTCAAACTTCTCTACTTCGGCAGCGAATAAAGCTACTTTGGCAATCAACTCATCTTGCAGCGGGCCTTGGCTGGCACACAACGACTCTTGCATGTCTTTGGACTGGAACAGTTAATTCTTTTAGTTTGTTGGTGAAATTCTCACTCCATAAGTCATCCAAATCTAATGGCTACGAATATTAAAGAGAAAGGTCCATTTCCTGAAATGTAGAAGATTAGGAAAGCCAATGTTCATTGAATCATCAAGTATCTATATATATAATACGTGAAGCCGTTTTTTTAGCCGTTTTTTTTTGTAATGGTTTAATCCTGACATAAGTCAGGATTGTTTAAACTGGACCTGGTATGCCTTGATGATTTGGCTTGTAATAAAAGAATACTTAACCAAGACCTAAGAAACACACATGTAAGAAACACTACGTTCTAAACTCACCCTTCATTTATTATTTTTTTTACTTACCGTATTGATATAGTTCTGACATTGCCTCTTTTAAAGTTACAACAGATGTGATTCAACTATACATGAAATGAACAAAGAATCGGTGTACCAAACAGTAAGTTATATTAACTCGGAATTACATTATTTCACTCATATTTCTATAAAAATAAAGTCACACAATAAACTCACATATTGGATCAAGTTTTCAAAGTTGAATCGCAGTCCATCTACTTTCTCGATATCTTCGGGTGGAACTTTTATGTTGAACTTAGCAAATATTGCGTAAGCTTCCTCAATTGCACTCAACTCTCTATCCAATCTGATAAAGTTTCCTCGGATGGCATCAAGGCAAGCCATTGCTAATCTCACCTGCAAAAAATCAGCCACGTGATTGAACATTCTCAAATCTGCTAAAGGCCTTGTCAAATCCTTTTTCCATTACAGGTTTTACATGGTAAGTTTTTAGAATTACACAATTATAGGGTACATCATCTATTTCAGATCCTAAGTTGCAATACATGCTCAACAAGATTATATTCCAGTAAATCATGGAAATTGTTTATTAACTAGATTAAATCTGTTAAAAAATAACAATAACAGTAACCTACCAGCGAGATTTAAGCGGAGGAAATGGTGACAAGTTTGTGTGTGGAAAATATCCCAATGTTAGCACACTTGAATACTTGATATTTATTTACTTTAAGATTGTAGTAACATTACAACAATATAAGTATTTTATTAAATACCTCATCTAGATCTTTAACTGGCTTCTTGAGCAGAATTTCTTTTTTCTCCTCCATAAAATCCCAAAGTTCGGATAACTTCTTGCGATAAGCGTTGAGAAACAGATTTGATAGTGTTAGTTTCCAATCTTTCCATTCCACTTTGAGAGCCAATTTCAACTGAGCTGTAGAATCAATTATGAACTGTATTACTTTTTGGTTTCATAATCATTATCTTATTCATAAAGAATCCATAGAAAAAGTATAACCATATTACCGGTATAAATTTATGAGGAATAACCAAAGGCCTTTGATAAAGTTGAGCACTGGTGGCAACAGCAGAAACACTTATCTTAAAGATGAATCTAAATTTTTAAAAGGATAGAGGGTCAAATCATCAATCCTCTTAGTTATATGGATGTCATAAAAAGGTAGTTGAACAAATTAATTTTTGATACATTGGGAAGACAAAAAAACAATAGTTAAAAGCATATATAATTCAAATTTTTTGTCAAATAAAGTTACATGAAAACAAATCCAACCAGCATAGAGTTCTAGAGCTTTTTTTCCTACAACGCTAGGCACAAGCCCAGTTTTTTTTTCACAATTACTTCAGGCTAGACCTAGGGGTTGCGGCATTATCACTTGGATAAAATCTATTGGTGACTTGGTGGGATTTGAACCCAGGACCTCAGGGACTGAAGTACTGCGCTCTAACCACTACACCAGCTCGCTTCCCCTTCCCCAGAGCTTAGAAGTGTATGTAGCAAGACCTCAGCGCTAAACTTGTTAGTGCAACGTCTTAACCAAATGACCTACCATGCCACTGTTGATCGAACACTATAATGCAACAACACTATAAGCACACTAGAGCTTGCAGGTTAGATTTTATGAACTAATTCCCCGAGTTTTACTAGAATTTAGGACTTAAAGTGTTAAAAAGCGATAAAATTAAAAAACTAGCCTATGTCTATAAGTTTCAAGATTGTAAATTTATCTCCAACCTTCCACTTAAGTTTTTTTTACTATGATAAACAAACTTAGTTCACATCACACCATGAAGCTATACAATTGAGAACAATTTTGCCTTACTTGTAAGCATCTCAAGAGGACCAAGAATATTCATGCTTGAAATCTCTTCAATATCTTTCAAAGATTTTTCCAGTTTTGCAAACTTGTCTTCAATCACAATTGTGTGGGGCTGGGAGTCAACAAACCCATTCATCTGATCGTTGCGCTTTTCTGACCAAAGATAAGAGTACTTCTGATAAGTCTGTAAAATAGTAAAATTTTAATAAGATTAGTTTAGTGATAGAGTAAATTTGAAAAAAGAAATTTATGTATATGAAGTTTTTTATACAAGAATAAGAACTAGGATACCTTTTCCTACTGCAAAGATATCAGAAAATTTTATTTATCTGTTATTTGCTTTAGCTGCATAACATTTGGGTAGAACGATTCAACGATTGTCAATTAATGAGATCTATGAACTGCTTTTATCTCTTTTCATATTTGAGTTTAATTATGTAATTATTTAATTATGTTCACTTTCCTTAATATTCAATAGAATCCTAAGCCTACTGCTTTTCCAGCTCCAAAAAAATATTATGGCGTATTAACGTAGTATCAAGTAAGATGCAAAAACAAACAAGTCAATAACAAAATACTGTGTTCTCTTGAAAAACAAGTAATTTAACGTAATAAAGTAATCTACTTTTCAAATTATCTTTTCCAAAGCATAACAGGTTAAATCTGTCTTTGAAAAATATGACGAGAATTTGTGGCTCTGCTTAAAGGACCCAAACTGCATGGATACCTAAATTAAAAAAAAATATTTGTAAACCTTAATTTTATGTCAATTTAGGGGTAAGCTGTAAACATATTTCGCATTGTAAACAGGATAAATTTTCTACACTTACCTTCAACAGTTTGGTGACGTCCGGTTTTATGAGCAGTATGATGCCTTGCAGTGCGATGGTCAGTCGTATCACCTCTTTATTCTCCATCACCTGTTTTAAGTAGTCTCTGCGACCTTCCATATTACTACTGTCAGACTCAATACTGGACACTAACTCTACTACAACACTCTTGGTGGCTGCAAACATAGAATGGAGAGTTAATTAATTTTGGGTAGCAATGTACGTCAAAGCAGACTGAAGAAATGTACGCTAATGAAAAATTTTCAAAATAAAATCGTAACAAATATTTTCAATTTAGTCAAACGAACGATAATGACATGGACACCAAATAACAATTTATTCATAGACTATTGCTCGTCCTTTGGTATTAAAACAGTGGCGATTCCAAGGGAGGGGGCCACAGGGGCAAACCCCCCCCCCTTGGACGCCAGAAAAATAAATTTAAACATCCATTAAAACTTAAAACATTAACAGAGTTTTTGGACACAGTTCTAGACGTTAAAACTGGCTTTAGAAAGTCACCAAACGCCTTTTAAAATAAAAAATTTTCTAGGTGAGAACGGGGTAGCGGATTTTTATGCCCCTGGAATTTTACCCCCTGGGCAAACGTGACGTCACAAACCAGGGGGTAAAATTCCAGCCGCCAACTTTTGAGTTTCGCGACATTACCTCGATGGATTAAACGCAGAATTAAACATATATTTTCACGGTTGTGAATTTAATCAGAACACATCAAATTATAAAAACCTAGAGTGTACGGCCCGGATTTTTACCCCCGGAATTTTATCCCCGTAATTTTACCCCCCGGAATTTTACCCCCGGATTTTTACCCCCGGAATATTACCCCCGGAATTTTACCCCCGGAATTTTACCCCCGGAATTTTACCCCCTGGCCAGATATATAAATTAGTGAGAATGATTAATTATCTTCATTCTGTTTTAATTTAATAGTAAACATTTTATTATTAAGTAGCCTATATTAATTTATTTGTAACATTAACTAACCGAACAGGTGTTTAATTTTAATTTTGAGATTCTAGTAATTAGGATTCGATCTTTGAAGCTAACAGTTGGTTAATATGACGTATAAACAATCAACTGAATGATAATTGTTTCGAACATTTCTTTACAAAATAAATAAATAAAGATAGGCTACTAAATAATGAAATGTTTACAATGAATTAAAAACAGAAATAAGAAAATCAAACATTCAATTTCTAAAATCGGCCAAGGGGTAAAATTCCGGGGGGTAAAAATCCGGGGGTAAAAATCCGGGGGTAAAATTCCGGGGGGTAAAAATCCGGGGGTAAAATTCCGGGGGGTAAAAATCCGGGGGTAAAAATCAGGCCCGTACATCTTCAGTTGTCTAAACGCTAGTTATATGGACAGGGGGTAAAATTCAGGTTTTTATTGCTAATCTAATTAATCACGCTCTCTCTATTTTCATTAGACTTCCAAATCCGTGGGGGTAAAATTCCGGCCGCGAACAAACTTTTGGCCACTCAGGTTACTACGTCATAGTGACATCAGCTTTGCCCAGGGGGTAAAATTCCAGGGGGATAAAATTCCGGCGACCCGTGAGAACGCCAAAGTCCCCCTCTTTTCTTGGAGGGTCAGGGTATGGGGAACCCCCTGCACCCCCACCAGTAACTCCCCCCCGCCTTGACAAGGTTCTAGAACCGCCACTGATTGTAGAGTTGTTGTCTTTGTATGACAACAGAGTCATAACAGAAGAATCACCATCTTACATTTGTTTATCCTGACCAGTGCTGTTTAGAACACAAAATTAATTTTAAGGGACTTGAAACTTCTCTCTGCAAGTACCAAGTTGTCATAAAGGTCACTCTGTCGAGGTTGACATTTGACTATGATTATTTCATTTGTCACACGGTAGTCGCCCAAAGACCTCTTCTAGGAAGCCATTTAGCCAACATAATCACACACTAAGGACATTAAAACTTCAGATTTCACAATGATAAGTCTACTTGCAATACTGACCACCATGTCTGGACTTGGTCCTCTGAGCGAGTTGTGCGGCACCCAGACCCCACTGAGGTACCGAACAGATGATCGACAACACAGACTTGGTTATCTTGGAGAAGTATCCTTGCATCTGGTCCAGGGTTGGAACAATCACTACATTGGGGATGTGCAGAACAATCTCAGCCACTAGCAACGGATAGATGTAGTCAGGGTCGTTCTTGTAGTGCTCATACCTGACCATGCCACTGGGGAAATCAACAAGATTATGAGTTCTTCAAGAGTGACAAACAAAGCAATATTCAATAGTCTCAAGTTGTACCTTCTCTTGTACCTTAAATCTTCTACTCTTGTCCTTAACACTATCTATCTTCACAAAATCGTTGCGTAACCTACTGTAAATAAACTGCAATTCAGCTTCTATGGATGGAATAGTAAATAAAATAGCACATTCTGCATGATAAATAAAAATAGATTTAGCTGTGTATGGGTATATTTATGGGTTTATTTATGGTTATTCCAATCAGTGAACATGTTATTGGATAATGACCAACATTTAGACTTATAATGATGAAACCTTGATTAAATATTGGTTATATTAAAAGAAAGTATTAATAAGTAAAAAAGATATAATAGTAACCTCATCATTAGAGAACTAAATAGTTATTTTAGGATTTTTTGAGAGGATAGCAGGCTTACCTGAATGGGAAAGAGTCCAAACTGGCACAGGAAACACAAAACAAAACTTTACACTATATACACAAAACATTAGAATATTTCACTGTCACTGACAGCATTTTCAACTAAGGAAGAGATAGTTTTCTAGATGTCCAATCCAAAATGGTGGCCAGTGAGTTGTTGAGTCAGTGTTGCCAATAGTATGAATTCAAAAAACACAGTTTCAGTTTATCTTATATGCACTATATATATATGAATTAATATGTAAGCCTGCTAGTTGGGTTGGATATTGAAGTGGAGTGGGTTAGATTAAAGGTATTATCTCAGGTTTAGGTTTGGGGGTTGTCTAGACTTAGTAAACCATTGATAAGACAATTCCCATCTTCTCAGTTGTGACTGGTTACATTGAGGGGGCAGTGATTTGACTATTTTGGTTGTAAAGCAGTCATTGAAACTAGGGTTGTTGTGGCTCTGGGCATGTTGTACAACTGGTTTGTCTTTGTATCCAGTAGATACATCTTGTCTATGGCCATTCATCCTGGTTCTGAGGCTATTGGTGGATAGGCCTACATACTGTGCCTCACATTTGTTACATTGTAGTTGGTAGATAATGTTCTTCGTTTCACAAGTGTTGAAGCCTCGGATGTTGTAGTTTTCTTTGGTTGTGGAACTGGAAAATGTTTGGCTGGGTTGATTTATTTCACATGTTTTACACCTCTTGTTATCACAGGGATATGAACCGTTAGGGCGTGCGTTGTTTGGGTTGTTGATGGCCGGGTCAGGAACTTTTGGGTGGACTAGTATTTTTCGGAGATTGGGTGGTTGTCTAAAAACAATGTTAGGTGGATCTTTCAAAAAATTGATGGTGTGGTTGGAGGCCTTGAGGATTTTAAGCCCTCTTTTAAAATGCCATTCAATGAATGTAGTCCTTGGTGGTAGTCTGTGACAAGAGCAATGTTTTTGCTATTTCGTTTTTCATTATTTGGTTGTGGATGGTCTTGCGCTAAGCGGATTTGGTTCTCCACCAGCTTTCTAGGGTAACCCCTTTTTATGAATGCGTCAGATATTTTGTTATTGAACTTGTTTAATTCATCATCGTTGCTGCAGATCCTTTTGCCCCTGATGGCTTGACTGAACGGGATGGATCTTTTGGTGTTCTTTGGGTGGTTGCTGTTAAAATGTAAATATTGTAGATGGTTGGTAGGCTTGAAGTGTACACCGGTTTGTATGAGTCCATCTTGAATATTTATTTCTAGGTCCAGGAAAACTATTGTTGATATGTTGGTTAAGTTCATTCTAGAAAAAAACAATTTTCAATTTGAAGGTAGAAACTACTTACAAACTAAAGGCACTGCCATGGGTACGAGGATGGCCCCATCCTACGCAAATCTGTTCATGGGGAAACTCGAAAAATGTTTCCTACAATCCCAAAAAGTACAACCTTTGTGTTGGTTCCGGTTTATAGACGATATTTTTATCTTGTGGACCTCAGGCTTAGACTCCTTAAAACAGTTTATTGACAGCCTTAATAGTTTCAGTTCCCTTAAATTCACCAGCAACATCTCAACATCAACAATAGTTTTCCTGGACCTAGAAATAAATATTCAAGATGGACTCATACAAACCGGTGTACACTTCAAGCCTACCAACCATCTACAATATTTACATTTTAACAGCAACCACCCAAAGAACACCAAAAGATCCATCCCGTTCAGTCAAGCCATCAGGGGCAAAAGGATCTGCAGCAACGATGATGAATTAAACAAGTTCAATAACAAAATATCTGACGCATTCATAAAAAGGGGTTACCCTAGAAAGCTGGTGGAGAACCAAATCCGCTTAGCGCAAGACCATCCACAACCAAATAATGAAAAACGAAATAGCAAAAACATTGCTCTTGTCACAGACTACCACCAAGGACTACATTCATTGAATGGCATTTTAAAAGAGGGCTTCAAAATCCTCAAGGCCTCCAACCACACCATCAATTTTTTGAAAGATCCACCTAACATTGTTTTTAGACAACCACCCAATCTCCGAAAAATACTAGTCCACCCAAAAGTTCCTGACCCGGCCATCAACAACCCAAACAACGCACGCCCTAACGGTTCATATCCCTGTGATAACAAGAGGTGTAAAACATGTGAAATAAATCAACCCAGCCAAACATTTTCCAGTTCCACAACCAAAGAAAACTACAACATCCGAGGCTTCAACACTTGTGAAACGAAGAACATTATCTACCAACTACAATGTAACAAATGTGAGGCACAGTATGTAGGCCTATCCACCAATAGCCTCAGAACCAGGATGAATGGCCATAGACAAGATGTATCTACTGGATACAAAGACAAACCAGTTGTACAACATGCCCAGAGCCACAACAACCCTAGTTTCAATGACTGCTTTACAACCAAAATAGTCAAATCACTGCCCCCTCAATGTAACCAGTCACAACTGAGAAGATGGGAATTGTCTTATCAATGGTTTACTAAGTCTAGACAACCCCCAAACCTAAACCTGAGATAATACCTTTAATCTAACCCACTCCACTTCAATATCCAACCCAACTAGCAGGCTTACATATTAATTCATATATATATAGTGCATATAAGATAAACTGAAACTGTGTTTTTTGAATTCATACTATTGGCAACACTGACTCAACAACTCACTGGCCACCATTTTGGATTGGACATCTAGAAAACTATCTCTTCCTTAGTTGAAAATGCTGTCAGTGACAGTGAAATATTTTAATGTTTTGTGTATATAGTGTAAAGTTTTGTTTTGTGTTTCCTGTGCCAGTTTGGACTCTTTCCCATTCAGGTAAGCCTGCTATCCTCTCAAAAAATCCTAAAAAATCTAGGCCCTTGTGCTCTATGCTACACCCTTGAACTAAATAGTTAGTACTTCTGATGAAATAAAAGTTTTTTTTGTATAGTGATTTAATAATTAAAAAGTAAATAAAACCACCTGTCCTACCTGGATGTACCTGCACGGTCTCTGAGAGTTTTCAAGGTGTTTCTCGTCGCTTTGGTTATTGAGTCCATATTTTTACGATTGAAATAACTGTACACATCCATGCAATCGGCTTTCAAATCCTCAATTGTATACTCAGTTGTATCTTTCTTGTACTCTGAAAAAGTACAAACATGTATATGATAAAAAACAAAGTATCTAACTTGTTGACTTAGCTTGAGTTTGTTTGTTGTTTGTTGTTGTTGTTGAGTTTGTTGAATGAGTTTGTTTGAACTTGATTCACTGAACACTGTAGTAAATAAAACAACATAAAACATATCTCTATAGTTTGAGATCAGTCAAATTATAAACTGCTAGAAATGGCTGGTGCTATTGTGAGTTATTTGGGTGTTCATTGTTTGGGCTAACCTTATACAATCTGATGTACGACAGACTCTTTGTAATAGTGTTACTATTGTGATTACTATCGGAATCTGATTCTCAGGCGAAAAGGTTATCCACTTTCCAGCTTCGGCTGTCTGCACTAATCCTTTTATGTTTTAAGTACTTTCTGCACAATAATCCCTTAGATTGTCCGACCTTCACACCTGAGGATGCTAGGTTCCAGCCCGGAACTGTTTTACCTTAGCTTTCTCTAATACAAGGCCGCAGTGTTGGTGTGTGGCAACGTCGCAACGGCATGTCTATTGCCATGGTTATAACAGTAATAACAAAAGTGTAAACATAAACATTGCCTATATGCTCCATTATAAAATAGTGCAACAGCTGTTTCAGTTTGACAGGACAGCGGTGTTGCCACTTTTGTTTCGCCGCAGCCTTGTATTAGAGGAGGCTATGATTTTACACATAGCTTCAGAGTCCTAGAGGGTCGGGACATGGATAAAATCCATTGGTGATTGGCGGGATTTGAACCAGGGACCTCATGCCCCGAAGCCCCATGCTCTAACACTAGACCCCCAATCTCCCCTATCTCTAAGATTATATCACACCAATGCTCCAATACTAGCCATTGGTATCTCATTCACAACTAGATACCTTCTCCGTCGTCTGCTGCTCCGCGAGGTTTGATGGCAAACACTGGTCTGTTTACTTTGTTCATGTCCAACCAGTTATATTTCTCCTCTTGGTCGATGTTGGGATCCTCGACAGAACTTACAAATTTATTTATCAACTCTATCACAGCCTCCTCAGCGGTCTGAGACCTGCAAATATCACAATTTACTATCAGTCCTTCTATCTTGTCTCACTTTCAACATGCTTAGGTAATATTATCAAACCGTACCAGCGGTTCAGTAGGCCTATGCCTAGGTGTCTAAGGGATGAAAATATATGTTTTCCTTTATTTCACAGTCCTCAGAAAATTACTTTACAGTTCAAAATTCATCTTGTAAAGCGGGTTAATGGGTTTTTTTTCCGTACAGGCAAACAAAATGTATGCCAAGTTCTAGCAACTGTTTATTGGATGTGACAAATCCCATACTCGCATGCAATTGTGTGTTGGCTTGGCATTCCCTCTAATAATTTTTAAAACACTATTTTATATTCCCCTTTGTTATTCCTTCAAGGTAATAAAAAAAAAAAAAAAAATCAAACACAGACAATTCTACAATGCCACCATATGATCAGAATTTGTTTATTTTCTGAGTTCTCAGTTTTGTTCATACTAACGAATAGTAGTGTCTATGTATACCCATCTATGTATTCCATACCTATAGCACATTGTGGATGTCCAAGTGATTTGTATTTCTACTCAGCCAGCTTAGCCAATCGTTAATCAGATACTTATCAGCTGAGCTGTAATGTATCCTCAACATATTACTAGTTGTGTAGGTTGTTTGTTTAGTCACAAAGAAATAAGATACGACACTCAACGGTACACCAAAGTGGTGTCTAGTACTAGTGCTGGTGTCTAGAGAAATGACGCCCCTCCACCCCCTCGGCAACATGTACTACAACATTTAAAAAAGACTCTGTGCCATGTGCGATAGGACTTTCCGCACATTGCTCACCGTTTAGGCTCTTCCCTGCTCATCAAAAATATATTTCCGCCTCAACATACCAGAGCTGAAAGTGTACAGTTGTCCCATAATTCCTATGTAGGCTACCTTTAGTACAAAAACTATTTAGTCTCACCTGGTTTGCAATTCCCTAGACACCATCACAGCATGGGCCTGGTTTTCTATGTACCACTCGTGAGCCTCCATTGCTTGCGGAGGAATCAACAGCAACATTTGCTCTCCGATAATCTCCAACGTGTCGTCCACGCGGGCTTCTTTCATGTCGTTTACCTGAGGTTGAAACATTTATTTTGATGAAGTTGCATGCAAATGTAAACATTGTTGGAATAAATTTTGACTTTTTATAAGATATTTCCAGTGAATGGAAAGTATAAACTATAAATGTCTTACAGATTATGTCCTGTCCAAAAAACATTTCTCATGTATAGCATTTTAAGAAGAATGTCATAAGTGAACATTATTTGACTGTTCTAAATCCTTGATAACTTTTAAAAACTGAGCAAATATTTTAGACTGTTACAGGTTTGAGTCCGGTAGCGATTAAGTCCCTTTATCCTGGGAATCACCCTTGTTTAAGGAAAGAAAATTTTTCCCACCGGTACTTTAGCTGTGGAGTTTAATATTAAAAGCTGCTTCAAAGTTGAATTAAATAAAGTTACATCATTTTCATCCTAAAAAATTAGTTCACAGTTCAAGTCAATCGTCAAAATAAAAACAATCTAGATAGCTTTGCCTTTGAAAAGAATCCGATCTGTTCTTTGATAGGTAATCAAAATTATCTCATACCCGTTAAGAGTTATCACAACACATTTTTTCTATTCGTCTCTTTACCAAAGAGTCAAAGAATTCCTTCATAAATTTGACACTTATGCATACATCACTCAAAAAGTGTGCTACAGTCTTAAATTCTATTTCCTTCCTTAATATTCTTACTGTGATATTTTATCTGAAGAGAAAAATTCTATAATTCACGCTAAGTAAGTTGTCCTAACAGGTTGGCTTGGTAAAAAAATTTGGAATATCCAACAGAAATCTGTAGTTTACATCATGACACTCATTCAGTTACAAAAAACATGTTATTTTTACTCCAAAACTGGTAACAACTTAAGCATGAGGATGGAATGTCTATTGGTACCAAAGAATGTCACCTCTTTACAGAACATATCCACAGAGTCTAGTGTTTCTTTGATGCCAGCCAACATCTGAGGGATGGTGAGAGATGTCCAGGATATGTTGCTCAGACAAGGCAAGAAGGCTTCGTCAAGCCGCATCATCTGCGACTGAATCAGGTTCACAAATATCGGACACACGTTTCTCCTGTAGACATTTTGTGTACCTCAACTCAACAAAGCATCACCATAGAATACTACTGACCTATGTGGTGACCAAACAGCCAGCCAGTGAAGTGACCTTAGTGATAATATATTCCAGTGGCCGTTATTGAACCCGCAAGGCGCAAAGTCTTGTTTAGAAGCCTAGGATGCCTTCACTGAGCTTCCGTGTTCAGTATAATTAAACTATATTCTGTATTAAAAATTGTCTTCAACTTTACTAACCACGATCTACATTGAGATTTTAAATTACTATTACTATTTAAAATATCTGCTTTCAATATTTCTACCGAAACCATGCAGTCAAACTATAGCAGTAGTTAATGCAGAACATTTCACACATTTTATTAAAACGGATCATTAGAGAATTTAAATTTTTTCTTACAAAACGTGATGTTTCTGTGAGTGAAGCTTATGTCAATCATTTTTATGGAAAGGCCAATAGTAAGATGTAGTTTTTTATACAAATCCAAAATAAACAATACTTTTTTAATCCTAAAAGCTATAAAATAATTAAATACACATTTTTGAATTTACAAAAAATGCATGTTAAATATTCTTCTCAAAAATAATAACATAAAGCGATCTTACAACATAAGACTCCAAAACTATTTTCAGTTTCCAAGACACTATCTCAAGTTAAAGGAAAAATGTCCTTCATTCTTTTTATTTTATCCTATAGTTTCAAACTGTAGTTCTTGAAACATATTACCTACTCAAAAAGTAGGCACAGGCAGGGAAGAAAACCTATCAACCTGTCTCATAAGAACAATTGTAGTTTAAATTAGTTGCTGTTTCTTAAAAGCAGTCACGGTCAACTATTCTATGACGTTATCAGAAATTATCTTACAATATAAACTGTTTTATTCTATAATATCCCCTCTGTCATTGTACCACACACTTTGACGCCAAACCCTGTTTTATCCTTCCTTACCGGTGCATTGAAAATGGTTAAGCAACAATCAAGAGTTTATTTACTGTATTTAATTAAAAAAGTTCCTCAAGGTGTGAACCTTGTATGACTAAATCAATTCTAATACAAGTTTTCCCAAGTGTATAACTTACCTAATTTCAATATTGCGAGCAACCAAAGCCTTAACTTCCTCCAGAGCAAAGAAAATTCTCGGTCGACAGATCAGAATCAGCAACGCCAAGTCCGGAACAGCTTTCTGCATTCTCAGGAAGTTCTCCGTCTCTAAGAACACTTCCATGATGGACAGATGGAAGTTCAGCTTGTAAGAGCCTGGTTTGTCCCCAACTTTCAACAGCGGCACACTCAGACAAGTTTGGACCTGTGCATATGTTATGGCAAAGATTACACTTCTGAATACTTTATTTGGGTAAGGCTAGTTGTTACTTTACACAGGACCATTTATCAAAAGCCCAATATGATCAAGGAAAGCTGGGCCCAGTTTCAAACCTTCAAATGGTTGATGTTCAATAATAATATATCAATGACAATCAATATTACACATTGATGGAAATAAAGAAGTTTTATATATGCAAGTAACAGTACCTTCATCATGCACTCATACCACCCTCTGTGGTGGATCTCTTCTTCGTAGGCTAAGTCCAACTGAAGCTCTTCAAGCACATTTGAACACTTCATTCCTAACTCAGTTTCAAGAGCTGAAGCTCCATCTTCCTGTAAACAAACACTTACAAAGTCTAGTCCCTTGATAATCAAACACTTACATGGTCTAGTCCCTTGATAATCAAACATTTACATGGTCTAGTCCCTTGATAATCAAACATTTACATGGTCTAGTCCCTTGATAATCAAACACTTACATGGTCTAGTCCCTTGATAATCAAACACTTACATGGTATTGTCCTTTGATAATCAAACACTTACATGGTCTAGTCCCTTGATAATCAAACATTTACATGGTCTAGTCCCTTGATAATCAAACATTTACATGGTCTAGTCCCTTGATAATCAAACCCTTACATGGTCTAGTCCCTTGATAATCAAACATTTACATGGTCTAGTCCCTTGATAATCAAACATTTACATGGCCTAGTCCCTTGATAATCAAACACTTACATGGTCTAGTCCCTTGATAATCAAACACTTACATGGTATTGTCCTTTGATAATCAAACACTTACATGGTCTAGTCCCTTGATAATCAAACGCAAACACTTACATGGTCTAGTCCCTTGATAATCAAACGCAAACACTTACATGGTCTAGTTTCTTGATTAATCAAACCCTTACGTGTTATTGTCCTTTAATTATTATCATCATTTATTATCATCAACTAAATTGAAGGATAGTCTACACACACTAGTTTCTCTTACCTCAAACATAGCCATAATTTCTTCCACCCTCTTATTGATTTGTCGAAACCAAGCAATGGACCCAGTTACTGGGGGACTGTTCCTGGGAATGGCAGGTATACTTTTGTTTTCAAAATAATAGTCATAAATGTAATTCAGCTCCTTATAGAAGAGAGACATTGCTTCATCATATGACTGCTCCATTTCCAGGGCTGGTAAATGCAATTTTTGAAATCTGTAATCATGTTTATTTAATTTAGAACAATAATCACGGTACTAGGATTGGTCTCCAACTTGCTGGGGTCGCAACCATGCAAGCTAGTTAAAATAACTTAAACCAACACCAAGCACTTTACTTCAATGACTACTGTCATTGACTTAACACTACACCTATGGAATGAAGTCAGTGCTACTATGCTATTATTTTCTCCTCACGTCTATGTAACGATAGTTTCATTATAGTGATAAGGAAGCAAGGGAAAATGGGTGCTCTGACCATTTAAGAGTTAGCTCGCTTGGTTAAGACTACAGCTTGCAGGAGAACTTACTTCAAGGACATCCCTCCTTTTTTAGTATATCCATATACATTTAGATATGCATTAAATTAAATAAAGGGTAATAATAAAATAACCAAATACCAGATGGAGCCATGACTAGAAGGTTTATTATCAACCATTAAAAACCAATTATATTTTACTGCTTTGAACCAGTCTTTATCAGGCGAACAATCTTAATCACTCAGCTATTTTCACCAAACATAAAAAAATAATTGTTACCTTTTCATCAAAAGCAAGCGGTTAAGAAGATCTGGACAAGCAGACAAACTATTCTCTTTGAAATGTCTCAGGTCCACTTCAGCTTTACTTATTGAACTTTTGAATATGTCGTAGTCTTTATCAAAATCAGGCTTGCGGTGGTTCAGAGCATCGTAGGGCTTGGTAGATATTATTTGAAAGATGGTTTTGAACTTGGCTGAATGTAGTTCGATCCCTTCCAGTTTAGAGTTTTCTAGTATGGAGTACAGAAGGGCAGTTTTTAGGACATCTCTCAGCTAAAGAAACAAACAATCAAGTTGTTAGTCAACAATTTTATACAGCAAAAATATATAAAACAATCAATTTTTCAAACATTTATTGCCCTCTTGAAAAAAATGCTATGAAAACACATATATTTACACACGTAATGTTTATAATAAAAATATTGGTAAAAAAATTATACCAATCTTTAAAAGAACTGACTGAGAAATAAGGTTTCATTCTATTAAGGCTCTCTTTTACTGAATTAAAAGACCACAATTCAATTATTAATAGGCTGTGTTTTTAACAAATCCATTTGTTTTTGTTTTTTTTAGGCTTCAGGTGTGATTATTAGACTAAACCTTGTGTCCATAAAGTTTAATTTTGAATACCTACTTTAGAACTTCTTCTAGTGATGAGTATAATATTTTCAGAATCACTTAAAAGACATGAGATTTTGCTACGCCTCGAAGAAATAGGCTTACTGGCTTGCCTGGGTTCAAGAAAACTAAACCTCACCTTGTACAGCCGAGTTTTAAAAGTTTTGAACTTCCCAAAAACAAACATTTCTGAAGCTTCCAAGTTTGTTTCATCTTCATCTTCTTCAATTCTGAATTTGGTTTCAAAATACA